GAAATCTTGCCGTTTTGCAACCATTCCTAAAATCAGTAAAGCATACCAGACTGAGAAACGCCGGATTATGGACAACTGGCTGGTGTAATTATGAGCGACAAGACAGTTCAAACAACACATGACGCTCAATATCAATATGTTGTAATGTTTCTTCCAACGGCCCCGTTTATTATATTATTAAAACAATTACTCAATTTGCAACAACGCTGTATTTATTTTTATATGTGATATACCTGATATATTGATAATATGTCTTCCATAACAAATGCTTATATCTTACCTCAGTCATTTCATTATCTCATGGTTAGACATCATCAATCTTATGATTTACCACAAAGAATTACACCATTTCTTAATTTTTTTACTTATCAAACATCACTTATTAAAAATATAAAAAATGGACAATAAAATTTTTGAATAAAACTATCAAATCAGTCATTGCTCAGCAAATACAAAGTATAAAGGAATAATAAACAGAACGTGTTCGCACAAAGTTGAAAATACGGATCGGCAAGTCAACAAGTCTGACCGTTAAATAAACAAACATAACTTAGATCTCCAACTGTTCGTCTGCTGGTCAGAACTTGGTATCCACTTCGGATAACCAATTTCTGAGAATACTGATGTCTTAAATAGATCAGACTTTTTGCATAAAGACGTCTTTAAATAAGAATATTTAATCTGCAATTTCAATTAATATTGTAAACCACAACACCTTGCTGGCGTCTGGTAAATCTAAAAATCTGTTTTTCTTAAAATATTACATTTTTATTTATAGATTTATAAAGTGTAGCTTCTAAACGAATTGTCCTTATCTAGCTTTATGGATTATCACGCTTCTATTAAGCTAAACACATCGATACTTACTACTCGTTGTCAGTCCAAAAACCAAGCATACACATGTAGCATATTCAAATAAATGTCAGAATGTAGGCCTATCATATCACGCGCGTAGTTCTAAAGTTAACAACATATTAATGTAATAGAATAAGACACGATAATTAAAAAGATAAACCTCGGTATTCGGGCCTAAAAACCACGGATACGTGTATCAATACCTATAGTCCCTGATCTGGACCCTCTGAAAAAAAGTTTTGTTGTCCGGTACTTTCCCACATAAAATGATTGTACCGTTTGAAAGAACAGACTTCCCTCTTAAAGAAAACACCTCTTCTATTGATGTAAACAGGGGCAAAAGGCACCAAAACGGGGTTAGACAAGGTGGCATTCTGAAGTCTCACTTTCTTGTCATCACGATTCCAGGTAAACCATCAGACGGATTTACTTCAAATTTTCACACATGTTACATGGTAAGAAGTTCTAGAGCTGATTAACTTTGCGGCGGCCATCTTGCATTCTGGCGGCCATCTTGGAATTTTTTTCAGATAAATATTGTCATCGCGATTCCACAAAAACCACATAACAGATGTACTTCAAATGTTCACACATGTTACATGGTAAAAAGTCCTAGACCTCATTATTTTTTCGGTGGCCATCTTGCATTCTGGCAGCCATCTTGGAAGTTATAAGATAAATCTTGTCACCGCGATTTCAGGAAAACCAAACAGATTTACTTCAAATTTCCACACATGTTACATGGTAAGAAAATATAGAGGTGAATAACTTTTCGGCAGCCATCTTGCATTCTGGTGGCCATCTTGGAAATTTTGGGATAAATCTTGTCATCGTGATTCCAGGAAAACAACCTAACAGATTAACTTCAAATTTTCACACATGTTACATGGTATGAAGTTCTAGAGCTGATTAACTTTTCAGTGGCCATCTTGCATTCTGGCAGCCATTTTGGAAGGTTTATAGATAAATCTTGTAATCACGATTCCAGAAAAACCACTTCACAGTTTTACTTCGAATTTTCACACATGTTACATGGTATGAAGTTCTAGAGCTGACTAACTTTTCGGTGGCCATGTTGCATTCTGTCGGCCATCTTGGAAGTTTTTAGATAAATCTTGTCATCATGATTCCATGAAAACCACGTAACAGTTTTACTTCAAATTTTCACACATGTTACATGGTAAGAAGTTATAGGGCTGATTAACTTTCCGATAGCCATCTTGCATTCCGGCGGCCATCTTGGAAGTTTGTAGATAAATCTTGTCATCACGATTCCAGAAAAACAACTTTACAGATTTGCTTCAAATTTTCACACTTTATACATTTACATTCACGATGGTCCCTTCCTGGTATATTTTTTTTAGGTTTTATGACTATTAAATTCTATAGTCTTGTTAAGACCACTTTATAAACAGGTTTATTATTACTTTTATGACTGTTAAATTATATAGTCTAGTTAACACCACTTTATAAACAGGTTTATTATTACTGGTGTAACTAACACAACGAAATAAAATATAATTGATTTATTTGATTTTATATAACATGAAATTATTTTTTCTTTTCGATAAAACATTGCTTATTAGAAATATATTTAGTTGAAAACTTAGAGTAAACAATCAGTTCTTCTATCACAAAGTTTATTTTGGTTAAGTAGATTTTTCTATATATTATTTTTATGTCACCACCACTAGTGATTGAATGACATATTGTAATAGCTTCGAACTTTTATCTTGACACTGTTCAGTAGTTAATGTATACTGTATACTTAACAAGGTGTGGTGACATTTAGCATGTTTCTGCATCGTCACTACTATTGAAAGCTTATGTTGATATTGTAGCAGTATTTTTTAAGTTCTTTTTGTTGGTACAATTAGTTTCCAAACCCTATACTTATATCGATCTGACACACAGTTTTAGTGCAGGTTGTGATTTTTGTTGATTATTAAACGCAAAGAGCAAATGTGTCTCGAACTCGCAACATTGTGGATACAGAGCCCATTCACATAGTTTGACATGCTGGTGCTCTGAACCAGCTCGTTAGTTAATATCTGACTAAGAGACAGCTTGCTTTCCTGATGAAGAAACGTTATCTGCAGCTTTTATGAGTACTATAGTATCTACAACTATTTTTGATCTTATGAGTATTGGATATCATTAATTTCAATTTTTCTTGAACTTTTAATGACTTCAGTATGAATGGAATGTCCCTCGGAGTTGTGGTCGTTGATGAGGAATTGGTCATTGAACGGTGTGGATGCTGTTTATTCCCATATTAGATTATTGTGTTGGGATATTCAGGTTTGATTTTTGTTTGCCAGTTTTACACTTTACAGTTTGCTTTTCCCACTAGGTTGCTTTACACTTTTTTCCTTTCTCATTTGTCATTTTTGTTTATATTTAGTAAGGATATGATACGCAGGTCTCTCCTTCTGTGTGATCACCTGTCCAGAAGATAATTCAACTGCATGAAGAACATTTCGTTGACATGATGCACAGTGAAAGATTTTCCACACATTTACATTTTTGTTTAAAAGAGCTTTAATTCCGTTATATACTCAGATCAAGGCCAATTTAGCATACATTTCGCTCTCAAAAATCGCTTTGCAATAATGGATTTCAAAGACTTTTTCAATAATCTTTTTTTCTTTTTGATGAAATGTAGTTATTTATTCTAAAAATCAATCGATGTCATAAACAAAATGCATTTAAGTGGTATAAAGTACAGAAGCAGAGTAAAAATATGTATTTTAGAATATCACCATGTGTTACCCCATTGTAGCGCCTCTTGCCCATGTTTCTATCAATATGAAATATGATATCATACACCAAATATGCATTTATGTCAAATTATGTGGTTTAAAATACAGAAAAATAAATAACATTCTCCTTAGAATACCACCTTGTGTAACCCCATTTTACTGCCTTTTGCCCCTGTTTATATCAATATAAAAGGTAGCATGTAACCTTCCTTGTAACATGTGTAAAAGTTTCAAGAAAATCAGTAAAGTGGTTTTCCTGGAATCACAATGACAAGATTTATCCAAAAAACTTCCAAGATGGCAGCCAGAATGCAAGATGGCCACCGAAAGGTTAATTAGCTCTAGAACTCCTTACCATGTAATATGTGTGAAAATTTGAAGTAAATCCGTTTGGTTTTCCTCAAATCGTGATGACAAGATTTATCTTTAAACTTCCAAGATGGCTGCCAGAATGCAAGATGGCCACCGAAAAAATAATGAGGTCTAGGACTTTTTACCATGTTACATGTGTGAACATTTGAAGTACATCTGTTATGTGGTTTTTGTGGAATCGAGATGACAATATTTATCTGAAAAAAATCCAAGATGGCCGCCAGAATGCAAGATGGCCGCCGCAAATTTAATCAGCTCTAGAATTTCTTACCATGTAACATGTGTGAAAATTTGAAGCAAATCCGTCTAATGGTTTACCTGGAATCATGATGACAAGAAAGTGAGACTTCAGAATGCCACCTTGTCTAACCCCGTTTTGGTGCCTTTTGCCCCTGTTTACATCAATAGATGAGGTGTTTTCTTTAAGAGGGAAGTCTGTTCTTTCAAACGGTACAATCATTTTATGTGGGAAAGTACCGGACAACAAAACCCCTTTTCTAGAGCCCTTTTGGAAATCAGATCGGGGACTACTAGGGGTAAGCAGAGATAACCTTCCAAATAAGTGTATCAATAATCAAGGATAGCGACAACTAAACACCGAGTAAGATGGTAATAAGCAGTTTATTGCAAGTTATTAAACACGATTTTGTCTTGTGTTATTAACATAAACATCATTATAGTTAAGAATTCTAAGTTCCATTGGTCTCTAAAAATGGCATCAATTAACCCATGGTTACAACAGCCTAGAAATTATTCACTTTACGAAGTTGTTGTTAATGTCCCCATGGTAAGCAACAACATTTAGTAACGTGATCGTCAAGATCGTTATTGCGACTAAACATCTGAATCAGTACATTTGATGAGTATGACTCGTACTACTACATTGGTAACACTTTTCTTGCATTCACAGTGACAGGAATCATTTCTGTGAATCATATAAAATAAAATGCTTTCGTAGTTTATATTATAATTATATTATACTGTACAGTTTAATGTCGTATTATATTTTAGGGTTCAGTGGCATATGTTCCACAGCAAGCTTGGATTCAGTTTAATACCCTAAAGAACAACATCATATTTGGTGCACCACTTGATGACGAAAGATATGAAGACATTATAAAAGAAACAACATTGAAAACTGATCTGGAGATTCTACAAGGTGGAGATCAGACTGAAATAGGCGAAAAGGTGAGAAACATTAGATGCTTATAATTCTGGTGTATCGATTGATGTAATATTTATATAATGTATTTTAATATGTTCCCTCAATTCCTTATGGATTTCTTCCAAATGCATTCACATCTCTTCTTGTATTAGGGCATCAACTTGAGTGGGGGTCAGAAGCAGAGAGTGAGTCTCGCCAGGGCAGTGTATCAAAACAAGGACATCTATCTGTTGGACGATCCCCTCAGCGCAGTTGATGCACATGTTGGCAAACATATTTTTGACAATGTTATAGGTCCAGCTGGAATCCTAAGAAATAAGGTAACAAAAACGAATTATATTTGTAAACTTCTCAATTATCGTTAATAACCGTTACGTTCAAATTATGTTTGAAAACAAACTTGTTATTTAAGAAGTGGTCTTCAGGAAGACCACTCTTAATTGCTATAAATAGAAGGGCTTATGTTCGCCATTACCATGGGGCCCTTTGCATTATATTTAAGCTTCGCAAACTTAGTTACTTGAATAATATTTATTTATCTGCAGACGAGAGTTTTGGTTACAAATGGTATAAACTTCTTACCCAAATGTGATGAAATCATTGTGTTGAACAACGGGACGATTTCTGAGACAGGGACCTTCGCCCAACTACTTAAGAACGCCGGGGCATTCTCAGAATATATCGCAACGTATCTGAATGATGATGTTCGTGAAAATGAAATTGACGAAGATGACGAGAGTGAGTGGACTTTGAATTGTTGCTGTTTAGTTACTATTGTATTAATATTTCATTTGTATTAAGAAATATTTATATAGCCAATTATATACACAATGACTCATCTTAGTTCCTCATTGTATGTATGTATAATTTATTTGCCTCTTAATAACAAGAGAGTTACATTCACAATTTTATACAAACTAATTAAAAAGTAAAAGCATCGGACAAAGATTAATAAGGAGTAGGTAATGTACAGTAATTAGACATTTTTTAACAGCAGTTGTCTCTGCTTATGCATTATGTACACATTCTGTGATATGGATAAAAGTTTCTCATTGTCACAACATATTATACCGAGTATTACCTTAAGAATAAAGTTGTCATCTTGAACATTCAGATTGGTCATTGCAATGTTAATAATCATGGGTTCCCTGACTCCAGAAGTAGCCGGACACTTTAATAAGAAATGTTTCACAGTTTCATTTTCATTGAGCTCACAGAGCACACATGTCTTACATACAGATGTTTCACCCTCGCGACGTCTACTGTTTAAATCATATGTTCCAGTTAATAATTTGATCATAATCTTAGTACAGTACATTACATTGGGGTTATTTTTTTAGCAATAATCCATTTGGCTTAAATTCCAACAAAGAACCTGCCATCATATTTAAACCTTTGTACATCAATGTCGATAGGACAGTGGTACGAGTATTAATCTTTGACTCTCTTATAAATAGTATATCTAAAATTCAGTTTACTTGGATATTTAGCATTAAAAACCATATTTCATTCACAATGTCAGTAAGGTTATACTTAAGAACCGTTTCTCACATGTAATAAATGGGGGACTTCGGGTGTTTACAGGTTACATTTGTGTACATCATTCGAATTAGGCACTCTAAACATATAATTTTATATTTACAATTCATGGGCAAAGATAACAGCATAAATAAGAACATAAGCCTATCGCAGTCGATCTTCGCTTGTAATGGCATCCAGCCAAGTAGTCTGGTTGCTACGGGATCTGGTGTATTCTTAGGTAATGACTGTATTCGCTTGCCAATCTCTCTATGAGCGCATTCCATCAGTTTGATGTCATCTTCTGACTATGGTATTACTACACTCTTTTTGATGATTGCATCTTTCTTACACAAAACATTATACATAATATATATACAGATCAAATCCATATACATTGAATATTCGATAACATTATTACACATTTATATTTAACAATTATACGTGTTTACGCTTTTGGGACCATCTCCATTTAGAGTATCAAATTTGACATAATCTAAAACGGTACCATTTGAAAATACAATACATGCAATACGATGACCTTTCAATCGTATTGGGCTGGCAATATTTTAATAAAAAAGGGTATAAAGTAAAACAAAAATGTCAATGCTGTTGGTTTAATCTGTATAACCCATCTCCAAGTCTCGCCGAAACTTTCCAGTGTACCATTTAAGTTTGCAATATTTCGTTCGTCATTGATTTTATATTTTGTGATTACTTTTATTTGTATAAATGTTATTTTAGTATTAACGAGTCTTGATTTATGTATTAGGGTATTTATATACAATATGCAAAAATGAATTGCTTTTGAAGTGTGGTCGTGTTCTTGATTTAATTTCCCGACAATTAGGTCTTTAATTGTAAGATCAATATTGAAGAATCTTTTGAAGTCATCCCAAATCTTGGCAGAGTTTGGGCACTCTATGAAAAAGTGTATCGTATCATCTATTTTATCGTTTTTACAAAAGTCGCATAAATTTTTTTATTTTATTTCTAGTTAAAAATTGATTATTTGGTGTTATGTTTAAAAGAAGTTTGTAGTGAAGACATTGCATTCTAGGTTCTCAAACAGTCGTAAAAGGTAATGTAAAATATGTTTCCAATCTTCTCCTGTTAAGTTGAATTTTGAATTTAGATATTTTTTCCCGTTGGGTTATTTAAATAAATTATCTACGAGAATCCAATATATGGTTTTAGTTTTTTATAGCTTTGACGTTTATTGTCCTGTTTTTGATTTGGAGCTCTTCGTCTTTAAGTGCCCCGTTGCTTTGATTGTTTTTAATATGTTGTTTCCATGGGTATGGGATTGCATGAATTAAGCCATAGAAAGTAACGAAAGGTGTATTAATATTATATTTTAAAGATAAATCTTCGAAACCTAAGAATTCATTATTGTTAACGAGAAATTTTATTTGAAGGATTCCATTACTCATTACTACACTCTTAACATTATTTCAAATCATATATTTATAAGTGTCATTCCTCCGATTATCTACTCGAAAATCGCCAAATTCAAATTCTACTTTTCAGTGATACAAATTAAACGAGATCTGAAGCGTCTCGTTTCCGTCCAGTCAGCATTATCAGACAAGTCCGATAAAGATGATGCTGGGAGTTTAGCCGACAGCATAGCAAGTGGCAAGAGAGGGAGCATGAGAAAGAGATCGAGGTAATGTTTGACAATTTATTTTGTACCTAATAGCTTGAATCTTCATTTTAAAGTGTTGTATTGTATTGTATATAATTTGTAAGTGTTAACTCGATCATCAATATTACAGTCCAAGAAAGCGCACAATCTCGACCAAGTCAGATAAACTAGCCAACGAAGATGACGTCGAAATTGTAAAGAAACCTGGGAAGAAGGAGAAACTTGTGGAAGATGAAATGGCTCAAGAGGGAGGAGTGAGTATTTTAAAGCTATATTATACACTGTAAAAGCTTCATTCAAAAGGGTCATTCCCTTTGTTAAACTAACAATATTAGGTGGTGTATTTTAGATGAAATATGGCAGCTCAACTAATAACACGTCGACTATTTGAATTAGCAATTTTGTATTACTATTTCCTTCACGTTTCCAAATAATGTAGTTTAACCAATCACAATATGCAAATATATAACATCTATCTACCTCACTTGTAAACTTGCATTTCGTTGTTTTAGGTTCGGGCAATTGTTTTCCTTAAATACTTCAAAGCATGTGGTGTCGGTTTCTGTATACTAACAGTGCTTGCTACCATACTGTATATGGGGTGTCAAGTTGGTACTAACATATGGCTTAACATATGGAGTAGCGATAAACCCCTTCAGAAGAATGGTACCTTAGTCCAAGATAAACCACTTACTAACTTACGACTTGGCATATATGGGACATTTGGTGCGGGATCGGTTTTGACAGTCTTGCTCCGATCTATTTCTATTGCGCTTGCATCCGTGTCTGCCTCAAGTAAGTTAAAGCATGTGAATATTCAGTATTTGTGAAAAAACTAATACACATTAAGTAGATTGAGCCACCGACAGCATTGTTACTTGTTGTTCAGGTTAACGATATAGGTTCACATACTTGCAACGTGACATAAAACACACGATTTGTTAGAGAAATCACTTTGAAGCATAACATATATCTTACTCAAACAATATTCAATAATTTTGTTTTTAATCCAGACATTTTACACTCCGATCTCCTCCATAACGTGGTCAGGGCTCCAATGTCTTTCTTCGACACAACTCCTTTTGGACGTCGACACACTGGACATCAACATCCCTATTACCATCAAGATTGCCCTGTTCACTTTAAGCTCTGTCATAATGACAGTTGTTGTCATCATATATATAACGCCTCTCTTCGTGGTAGTCATTATACCACTAGCCGTCTTCTATTATTTTGTACAAGTAAGTGAATAACTTTATAAATCTTATCTAACTAAGTATCACTTATTAACCTTATCATGGATATGCATAAGACATGATTATAACTAAAAATACCCAAAAAGTGTGTGTGTAGTGTTAGTGATATATCATATGTCAAACATATTCCGGGATATGCAGCGGTTTGAAAATTGAATGTTTAATCGCAATTTAGATTGCTGATGCCTAAACGTATCTCTATCCAATATTATGTTTTCTCCATACGATTTAACCTTATCACTTTCAGAGGTTCTACGTTGCCACCTCACGCCAACTCAAGCGTTTAGAATCCATATCAAGGTCGCCCATCTATTCCCACTTTAGTGAGACGGTAGTTGGTGCCAGTTCAATAAGAGCATATGGGAAGCAGGATGAATTTGTAAACAAATCCGATGTGTTAGTTAATCAAAACCAGCAAGCCTATTATCCGAATATTGTTTCAAATAGGTAACCCTCATACTGTTAATCCATGCCAGTTGTCTTCATAAATATCACATCTCTGATATTCTTTAGACTTCCATTTCAAATATGTCATTTTGCGGTCACATAGGTGTAAATGTAAAATAGTTTAATAGGTTCCTAATGTAACTTTTACTTTTCTTTAGATGGCTTGGAATTCTGCTTGAATTTATTGGAAACATAATTGTTCTATTTGCCGGCTTGTTTGCTGTAATTGGGAGGGATACCTTGAGTGGAGGACAGATTGGATTATCTGTGTCATATTCGCTGCAGGTAAGCAACACCTAGTTTGATGTATTTAGTTGTATGGACATCACTTTTGTTCCAATAATTAATAAATGTTAATTTATGCAAGCCTTAAATCAATACCTGTACAATTCACAGTATTTCGCTAACTTATTTATAAATGGCTTCGTAACTCTAGGACTCGCGTTTGCGCTTAGGGTATAAGGGCTGTAGCTGCGTAATGGTTATCTTTGCAATCTTTGTAATGTACAGTTAAGGCCACATAGGTATCTATGTATAGTCCACTTCAAAATCATTTTGAACTTATTTTTTTATTGTTGGCTTCTTGTTGACTTATATTTAAACCTTGACGTTTTGCAGGTGACGCAATCTTTGAATATCCTTGTTAGGATGCTTACTGATTTGGAAACCCATATTGTATCAGTCGAGCGAATTAAAGAATATACAGATATCGAAAATGAGGTAAGAAAACAACAATTATGCCACGGTTTTGTTTCATAAGAGCATTTACTTATATTCACAATTAATCTAATCATTGCAAATGTTTATTACTTTTTAATATTCATTTGGCCATGTGCAAATTATACATGTAGTTAACAAATAGTACGTACATGAAATAATGCAAAACAAAATCTTACTATACGCCATTACTATTCAAGGCTGTATGGGAGATAGAGAATAGCAAACCTCCACCCGCGTGGCCCCAGGAGGGGGCGATAGCTGTCGATAATTATAGTGTCAGGTATAGGGAAGGACTAGACTTGGTTTTGAAAGATGTATCATTCAATGTACAGCCGGGTGAAAAGGTAAATGGAACTATTACATTAAGGTGTTACATTTTTTGCTATGTCAAGTATCGAGTTCTTAAGAGAGTATACTTTGCGAATATAACTTTTTATCATTTGTTTTCGTTGCTACTTTGCATGTTCTTACATTCACGATTGGATTTCTTTTTTAACCCTAGGTTGGTATTGTGGGAAGAACAGGAGCAGGGAAATCATCTTTGACTCTAGCATTATTCCGTATACTAGAACCTGCAAATGGCTCCATTATCATTGATGGTAAAGACATCACCAAGATGGGCCTACATAGTCTGCGATCAAAACTTACAATTATTCCACAGGTAACTATCACATGTCTTGTATTCATTCCTTAATATTATGTCCAGATATAATTGTAAGCAAAGCAAAATCATCTCAAATGCTATGTTGGAAGGGTGCGTAATAACGAGTTGCATCACATGTGTTGTATAATCGGGTCTTTTGAATGCTCGCTGATACATTAAAACTGCGTTTGTCATTTTGCTAGTTGAACTTTAGACAATTTCCATTTTTTATTTAGGAACCTGTTCTATTCTCTGGTTCTCTAAGGATGAATTTAGATCCAACTGATATAAGAACTGATGATGAACTGTGGGGTGCATTGGAGAATGCCCATTTGAAAGATTACGTCGCTGGTCTTCCGGAGAAGCTCATGCATCCCTGCTCTGAAGGTGGGGAGAATCTAAGGTATGAAGAAGGCGAACTATTGTAACGTCTCGTTGACTAGTATCTGGTATTCAATTTTGAATGCTTTGTAAATAAATGTAAGAAATCATACATCCCATAAGTAAACGCCTGTGTAAAACGTAATGTTTACATTAATCCCCACGCCCTGTTATGTTAAAGAAATCTGACAAAATCCGCAATAAATCAACGCTTTAATATATTCTGTGTTACTTTTATAACTACATGATTACATACTTAGGAGGTTCTCTATTTCAGTGTTGGTCAACGGCAGCTAGTATGTCTGGCAAGGGCGTTGTTGAGAAAGACAAGGATATTAATACTCGATGAAGCAACGGCAGCAGTTGACCTCGAAACTGACGATCTCATTCAGGTTGCGAAAGATTTATTTTAAATTCATCGATCGCAGTTATGATTATTTCGTAAATGTGTGTAGTGACATTGTCCAAATTAATACAATATTGAATGGACAAGATTGTGAAAATGAGTGATTTCATTTAACGTTTATATTAAGTTACATCTTTGATATTGATGTTTTGTTCTTATTTGTAGAATACAATAAGGACGGAGTTTAAGGATTCGACAGTGGTTACCATAGCACATAGGTTGAATACAATCATTGATTATGACAGGTAATTTACTCACAAACACACAACTTAAACTTGTAAATCAAATGGATACAGGCATGTGGAAAGGGTATGACGCACCTTCCACTATGCAGCGTGACAAAACATTGAACCTATAGAATGGCAAGCGACGCTGATTTAGTGTCCCAGTAAAATTATGATTATCATACGAGACTTAATTTATCACCTCCATTATTTTTATATCATACAAATTATGTTGACCCTAAAATATTTGTTTTAATTAAATAAACAAATTACCAAAATGTGCATCTTATCTATTTCAGGATACTTGTTTTGGATGCAGGCATGCGGAAAGAGTATGAGACGCCTACCGCATTGTTGAATGACAAAACAACTATATTTTATGGAATGGCAAAGGACGCTGGTTTGGTGTCCTAGTAACATTATAAAATTATAAAATAATATTTTAATTCATGGAAATTCAAATCATTATCTAAACAGGGTGACTGAAGTCATTACCAGCATTTTATGTCATGGTACATTTTGTCTGGATATCAGTATAAGATAACATAATATATATTTTCCCAAGTGGAACACAATTGAAATAAATATTGAAATAGTGGATTATATGTTATTCATCTGAAGGGTTGTATGTTTATTGAAATTGTTTCTTGATTTCAAATGTAATCTACACTGTTGCTCATAAATATGGAATAGTTTATAGATACGAACTGTTTGATGGAATTTCTACAAAATGATAACATTTTGATGAAAATTTGCAATGTGTTCTCATTCCCTCATCAGTTTTGCATATAAAACTGATTGGTATGAAAAGTTAAAACATTTATGGTTGATTAAACTTGTATTCACTCAGGTGACCCCATGACCTCATGATATTGGTAAATCGAAAGAGGTGTCCAAATCTTAGTTGTAACCATTGTGCACATTTTATAAAACTTTAATTTAGAGTTGGAAGAGTTTTTAGAAGGCATGCCCCATAAAATAAGCAAAAAAGAGCATGGCAGGTCATAGGGATGGTGCTCTCTGTCATGAAACAAATTGCCATTGCCAGGACTCTAAGGGTGTGTCAGGAACAGTCTCTAAAATTCTGCAGTGGTACCAAAGGCACTGGAATGTGACTCCAGGTCACAGCAATAGTAGCCCTAGAGAGAATAACGTAAGAAAAGACCACCACCTGCTGCATTTATATCATCAAAATCGCTTTAAGTCAACCAGTAGTCTACGAGATGAGTGGCTGTCTCACCTCAAAACCTGTGTTCCAGAGCTATAGACAACCAGTGATTTCTTTAGAACGGATGCAAGGCCACGAGACCTGTAAAGAAACCACAGCTGACTGATTATACCAAAGAAAGGTGCCTTAAATGGGCAGGAAAGCACTAAAACGTTGGACCTAATCTTTTTTTGTCATATGACAGCATGTGAAGAAATAAGATATGTCCTCCACAAAGTTGATATTGTGTTCGTTTCTGTCATAGACCAGGGGAAAGAGATAATAAGGACACTTACTGATGTGGCAGTCCACGAAGGCGACCCTATTTATGTTTGGAGCAGTATTACAGAGGTTGTTTGGAGCAGTACTACAGAAGTTGCACCCCCTTGGTGATTCCTAAACATAATTTCAGAGTAAAAATTGACCTTTTGGACCTCCATCAAGTACCACATGTAAACAGAGTGTTTTGGGGCAACATTCATCTGCAGAATGATCATGCTGTTGCATATGCTAGTGGCATCGTGATGGATTACATCAGGGCAGGCAATGTGGACCAGCTACCATGGGCACAAAAGTCAGTCAATCAGGCTAATGCAGAGCAAATGCGGGACGACCTTGGTAATTAGATTCTTGACTTGGACCCCAACCTCAAAATTTAGACACGTTACGCACTGCTCAGATTGAGTAATGGGGCCTTATTTCACTTAGAGAGGTCAGATGTTTCATTCAATGCTGGTCCCGTAGGGTTGATGCTCCGATTGCAGCACAAAGAGGACATAACGCATATTAGTGCTATCATTGGATAGAGGACACTTCAATCTTCATGACCAGATGTTTATTTTGTTTGATCTGTTTCACATGACGATTTGGATCGGGGTGTTTTGAAAATGCAAAAAAATCTTAGCTTACCCCTGTTTAAATAACAGTAATTGTCTAAATTTAAATATGCATATTTTTTCTCTGAAAAATGTTGATTTGTAGATGAAATATGTGGTTATGATTTGCCTAGAAAATAATTGTCTGAACCGACTCCAAATAAATGTTCTCTTACTCCAAAATTTGAATTCGGAGCTGCCAAATCTAATATTCCATATTTTTGAGCAACAGTGTATTTACAGGCAAACTATGTAAGTCTATGGGTAATATCGCCAAAGCATACTTTAAAAAACAACAACAAATTGTTTTGTTTTGTTGCCATCAGTTTCACTAACGTCATTGGGATGGACGATATCTTAATGTATTCATCATATGTATTTTGTCTCGTATAGCAACCGATATACACATACTAACATAGCCAAAAACTATAGTTCTGAAAAATCAACAAAAATGCATTGTTTTGTTGCCATCAGTTTCATGAACGTCATTGGCATAAACAATATGATTTATTCATTATATATTTTTGTCTAATTTGTCTGTACAGTAGGCTTCATTATTGTATGTTAAACATAAATTATTTACAGTCCTTTATATTGTTTTGTAAACATACAAAAATCTACAGTCAATGACGATGATGGCATTGGGTGCGTTGGTATCAATGTAAGTTTGCCAATGATGAAAGCATTTGTTGACTGAAAGTGCACATATATTCTATCTGGACTATATGCGAATTGATGCATCTCCTTTATCTTTACACAGTAGGTCAATTGATGACCCTTATAAATATACATCGAATATGACTATTTTCGGATACCATAAGTTAATAAGATGATTATAACAGCATTTCGTGTGCAATGGTTGCGTTACGAAAATAATTCATATCAAATTTCTTGAACACAAATAAAAGCTATGGTTATATCAATAAAGAACTCTGCATTACAAGGACTGTGTCAGTGAATGCGTGTCCTCTACTGTATAATATATCCCCAATGTTATGAAATCACACATTGGTGAATAAGTTGTAGATTATCACTGCTATCAATACGCACGTCAGGGAACTTCCAAATCTCGTTGAACCTATAAAATGGACAATAGTAATAGCTTTATTTGAATGACAACCGACCAAATGAGTATCAAAACATTTGTTTCCCGATGACATGTCGTTTAGTATCAATTAACAATGAAGACTAGTGTTACTGGATAAGTACTGCTGCCTGCCTGTCATCAAGCATACTCATTTGGACAACACCAATGTACAGGGTGATAATCAAGGGGAGAAATATCAGACAGGACATTGTGACATCAATAATTTTATCCATACTCACCGCTGTCTTCAACTTTCCTCTCTCCTACTTCAGCAATTACTTTCCGTTTATCATTCGGTAATACGTCGATTTGTTTATCAGTAATTGACCGGGCCTGTTCAAATGTAAACCACTCCAACTGGGACTTTGAAAACGCCTGTAAATATAGCACCTCTAAAGTCGTAACTTCAAGATAAATATAATACAAGTACTTTATAAGAAGTTTAATGTTAATATAAAAATAAAGTAGTACAATTACACTACTTTGGAAATCATCCCTTCATCATTATACGAAGATGTAATCGGCATTATTTTAATCTCAAATTGTAACATTATGTTGAGATACCTTTCAAGGAAATTATGAACACATTGGAGAAAAATTAAACTGTGCACATGTGATCAAAGATCACTAGCTAAAATACTTACTGCAAATTGGGTGGGAGGGACCTGTTTGATAACGTCGGGGTTTATTTCAGCCAGATGTTCCTTTGTCAGGTCAGACAGTCTATCCTTTGGAAGTCCACCTATAAAACAATATAAAATTATTGAATTTCATGTAAATATGAACAGTATGCGGATATTTTAGAAGTATTAAGCATTAGTAAATGTTACGCTATAGCTATTATTGAGACAGCTTAAACTATATGAACTATTTCGAATGTATATAATTAACAAAATACAGGGTGATCACTAAGTTCTGGGAATTTATCTGTCATTTCATTATTTTTCAACCAATCTACTTGAAATTTTCAAGCTAAATGGAGAATGTAGTTTTGGGTTGGATAAAACAGTTTCATTATCATATGATGTCACAATGGATAATTATTGTTACTATAGCAACATGACAAATGGCGTAGCGGGTCAAGCAAAACTTGAATTCATTTTTATTTAACTTGATCCAAAAGTATGGTTAATTAATACCTATTTGGTGGACAAATTTCTGTGATTTTTTATGTTTTCAAATGTTTCTAACTTTAGTCTCTAAGGTAACATCTGCATTGTGATATAAGAGTCCACTTTGCTCAATTTTCTTATCATTTGTCAGACTCTCAAAGTCATAATCATGACTCAAAATAGCGGGGAGTTATCTTTCATTATGACTATGCTTCTTCCCATTCCTCAAGCTTCCCCTTCTACTCTTGAATAATTAGGGTTCACACAAGTTGTTCATGCCCCATATTCACCACATAATGTTCACCGGATGAACCACCATTAGGTTCACTAAATTTAACTGTTGAAGCATCATATGAGAGATCATCATAGTTTTGGTTCCAATGAGGGACTGATCTCAACAGCTTGAACAAATTTTCAAGGGATACCAAAGGGAGGACTGGAAAGCGACTTTATGGACTAGGTTTGACAACAATGCATAGGCGTCCAGGCCTATGGAAATCATTATAAATGAAATGATCCTTCTAGCAATGAAGAATACTTCTGAATAAATGACTTCAAGAGTACTGTTCTGCATCTAGTACAATAAGTTTGAACCAACCATCTAGGCAAGATGAATATGTTTTAGCAGGATATTTTCAAATTAACGTCAGTCAAAATTTGCTGACCCGCTGACCACTTTTACTTTTTTTATAATTACAATAAAATAAATTGTAAAAGTGATATGTATGTGAAACATTGTCTGTCAATTTAAAATTATACAATGTACATTTGCTGGAAGTTTCAACTGAATTGGTTGAAAAATATTGAAATGACAGACCAATTCCCAGAACTTAGTGATCACCCTGTATAAACATCAAAATACAAAAGTGTACAACAATCAGATTTTCTAAACGTTAGCTCATCTATGGACTTCGAGTTTATATATTTGAATGAGCAACATGAGTTATCAGTTAGTGAAATAAAACTAAACCATATATCAAACAAATAACACAACATTGTCAAGGATTACCTATGAGGTGTCCTAGGTCTGTCACAGCATCATTTGGCCATACCGTGACAGAACTCTGATATTCCGTTGTGGTCAGTATCGTCTTAGTGTACTCTATCTTTTGTTGAGCGGAGCAGGATTCAAGACTTCCAAGTTCGAAGACCGCATTACTACAAAAAACGTAAATATCTGAAATAGGCTACTACCACTACATGAAATCCTTTACTTTTTAGTTGATCGCTTAATTCGGATTTAAGAGTAGACTGGTAGCTTTTTAGGTATAAAAAGCATTATGAACTATAAACAGCTGAAAACCCATGAGATGATACTAGTATTCTCTCGATCATACCCAGGCTTATATATGATCATACAACAAATTCACAAACATGTATTATTCATATTTATGCGGTTTGTATTTTTGAACTTACATTACACTTTCAGCATCAATCTCCATAATCTGATCAGTATCAAGACCGCATGCTAGATCACCGATCAGTCGAAGTTCAGTAAATGTAATTGAGCTGGCATCATCTCCTTTAACATCAGTCATCCATTTCTGTGCCGCAGAATAAAGCTAGAAGAGAAGCACAGGCCTTAAGTCAAAGAGAATGTTCTAATACTAGATCACAATCAAGATAGCATATTTTCATTATTATCCCGAAGAATGTTTGACATTAAAACTAAAACTAAAACGCATTTTTTAGGATCAAAATAAAACCCTTATACTCTATTAACCTCTTGAATACCCAGAATGACGGATATATCTGTCACAAATAAAATCCATTTGGAACCCAGAGCGACAGATATATCTGTCACAGAATTTTTCACTAAAACTGCTCTAACTTTGGCATTTTTTATCCAATCTTCACAAATTATGTTAAGAGGTTAACGTACTTTTATAATGTGATATGACGTCACATTAAGTAGAACAATTAAACCCTTATAGTCCATGAACTAATTATTATGTTTTGATTAGGTACTGTACCTCATTTGTTCTGGATTTCCAATAACTTCCGTCACCAATATCGTACGCCTGTTTTGTGCTGTTAATTGTTAGTTTCTCTATTTGCTCCCTTGGAAGACAAGCAACTAGTCCGCCAAAACGCTCGATCTTGGTAGCGTCCCATAAATCTGCGCTTCCCCATACCTAATATATCATAAAGTGTGATAAGAGTAGAGCATAGTAACATAGTAAGTAATAATGGTCAAAATTCTTCTCAGAAAATACATGAAGTTAAACTTAGATCATGATCACTAGAATTATAATTTTTCATAAATTCGTACAAACCATCGAATATAAATGATCTGCCTAGAGGAAGTGGGATACAACTTCGAAAGCAAAGCGATGTAACGACGATGTAGTCAAGATGAATGAGATGTATTATAAAAAAGATTTTGAGAGTTAAAATGAAACATCAAGTTAAAAATGGAAATGAAATGTAAATTGATGCGAATTTAAACTAAGTTTTTACCTCTTCTTTCATGGCAATTTTAGACACTTCTATACATTGTTCTACTGAAAGGTCAAAGGTCTTGAAGATCGATGCACAATTTTCGAATTCGTCAGCACTTAATGTAGTAATCTGACTTGGCGTAAAAACTGAACTTGTGTAATCTTGAAGTTCGGAGCAAGTGAGCTTGGTGCCTGGAATGTTGCAACAAAAAATATTTAGCAGGTTACTAGTAGATAAATCATGCTCTATCAAATACGATTTAGAATTGTAAGCAAGGATTACACACATTCTTCTTTAACAGCTAATCATTTAACAGATATAAATGTCAACTTTTATTTCCATTTAAATGGACCTCGTTACTGCATACTATGATACTCATCACTTCCTCAGTATTCTATTACGAACGATGAAGAAAACAACTTTACCACATCTTATAAATTGTTTGTTCATTCTCGTTCTTAAATTAAGTACACATCTTTAAAAACTTACTTATACTTGCTCTTTTGCGCCTAGCCTGGGGATTTTCTAATCGCCTAGTTGCATTCAGTATTTTCCTGAATAACTTATCTTGATTATTCAAGGCGCAGTGTTTCTCTTCGCCAAGGTGTTGCCTCATCTCCGTGAAATACTTAATCATTGTATAAGGCTCCTCTATTGAACTGTATGAGTCCACCAGTGCACCCTGTAAAAGAGATGAGTGCCATATAAAATATCATTCACAAAGTCAACAGACGAAACCGCCGCTAAATACGCCGGTCACGTGTATCCATTTAAACTTGCCTCGAGGAATATATTGAAAAACGTAATGACTTACGTCATCAATAGAAGACCATTGTTCATCAGTCACGCAATCTCCCATCAAGGTACCCATGCTGGAGATTTCCGTTGTTGTCAATTCACTCCTACAACACAATTGCGTAATATTCAGGTGACATCCATCATAAAAAACAAAGAAAACCGCGTAAATACTTGTGTATAGCTAGCAAATATTGCTGGTTTGACATTTACTTCTCATGATTTTAGTATAAGTGTAGGTTCTTGATTTTGGGTTTTCACGTTTTGTGCTTGTGTACTATATTGTGTGATATGATTATGACGAAGATTCATGTGTAAACTGTACAGTTTGGAATAGAAATACGTACGTGTATGCTTCTTTTGTAATTGCGCAGACTGTTTCTCTTGCTTCACAATAAGAAAGGCTTTGTTGGAAATGTGTTAAACTTCCCATTATATCTTCTTGCTTATAGTTAGTTGTGATATCATCAGCCGACAGTGGCATCAGAATAAACCCACTGCTACTGACCTTCATTGGTTCCTGTAAAATTGGGCGTTGAAATTAAGTCACTTAAAGACGTGTTTCGCATACTTTATGTCTATTCATGATTTTAACAGCATTACAATACCCTATGGCCATGTTGTGTTAGATTGTGATAATGTTCCCGATTAACAAGGAGGGGCAGATACTTCTTAATGTCACCCATTGTTTTAGTTATTCGTGTATTGTGGGTGATCAATTGTTTCTATGTCTTTCACTTTTTTATTTCCATTTTGGCCATTTTTAGACTCATTTATTCATGCAATATTTTCAACAAAAAATATCTTGGCCTAAAATGGATTATTCAAAACCAGTAAGCCAAGGTAGTCTAAAACGACATGTTATACTAGCGTAGAATTTGAGATAGTTACACATACCCGTTTGCAAAAGTCCTTGAACTCCTTGAGTTTCTTCATTCTTAGTTTTATCATGTCAGCATTGCCGAGCTGTTCGCAAATTCGTGTTTTGATGAGAGGATTGGTGCCAAGTTTAGTATCAAGTTCATCAATACTGAAAATAGAATGTATGTGTTAATTCCAAAAAATAGAAATGGGAGTTGTTCCGTCCGCATTCGAATTAGTATTCTCTTGGTGCCTTATCTTCCATGTGCATTTTTCAATAGAGTTAAATTTCACACCTTAGAAGTTGAGCACTCGTCATACAGGGATTCATTCATAATCATATATCGTATTTGCTCAAACACAAAAAAACATCATTGTAACTTGTTCGACTGTATTGATATATTGATGTTCTATTATTTGGGAATATTTTTAACTCAATTTGAAAAGCAGGTAACATTAAACAGTTAGTATAATCATGAATGCTTGGTTTATAGCGATAAGTTTGACATGTAACGCACTTGTCGCTTTACGTCAATATATAATATGGTACCTTAGAAACGCGTTAGATTATAAAAGTTACATAACATTACATATTTTGCCATCTCATGGAATTATTCTTTAACATTTGTAAATGTTCGCATTAAAAACTGTGATTGTTTAATTGTCTTGATGTAATTGTAGGTCGGACTAGTTGCTTGTACGCAACAAGTGATAATGACATACCGAAATGCCTGGAAGATACACCCGACTTGTTCGACCTCATATTCTGAGTCAATCTTATCCGTGCCTTTGAAGTCGAGGTACTTTCGCTTAATAGTCTCAAGCTGAAATATACCAAAAATAAGCAAACATTATTACACATCTTACTACCTTAGGCATTTGTTGCCATATTTTGCAATTTTATTACTTTGATATAACATGTTGAGTTTGCTAAATGTGGTGAAGATACACAATTCACATGTTACAAAGTAATTGGATAAGTGTTGTCAAAGTTACAGCCATTTTGCTTGACTAGTTTTCTGGTTAATCTGTGTTGTCAATGATGCCATGATGCCTTGATGCGCAGAACACTATTAGAGATTATGCCCCTAATGCTTTTCAACTACCGACCTGTTCAAAATTCAGTTGACTACTAAATTGGCACAGCTTCTGGATCACAGCGGGCGTGTTACCATCCATCGGAATAGCTTCAAATGCTGATTTGTCCAAGCATGTCACAAGTTTGCCATATTTATTGATGTTGACATTATTAACTGCACCAAAGAAGGAGCTACATGAGTCGGCTAAAAATCGACACTGTAACGAAAATCAAACAAAATATAGGTGGAGAGTGTAGCTGGTTAATTGATTCTTTTTTCATTGTATAGATATTTATTATCCTGATAATACATCAGTATAATTTATTCATTAACAAATTTAACATAACCGCATCAATTTCTTTCATTAAATGACATGACACAGTAAAAAATGCAAAAAGCAATACAATACATTAATACCAAATTCATATATTTTGGTATGCTACTGGATACACATTTGATGATAACGTAATTCTGTACTCACGAGGGGTCTGTTAATTTCCCCTATGATGTCATAAGGTGCATCCTCGAATGATAAGCTGGTAAAGCAGAGTTTGCTGACGTCCAATCCCTTTAGTTGATTCCGTGTCACTCTGTTATAGGTTATCCGTTCCCGTATATCATTGGCATTCTCCGCAGAAATATCGCTCTGTGGAAAAACGTATGTATACATTTTCACAAAACAAAAGCTATAAGATCAGGGTCGTTCAAAAAGTTTCAGAAAAGTATACCTTATTGTAATAATAATACACCAATCCTTTTGAAAGCTTTTGGGAAGGTACCCCCACATTATTCACTTGATAATTTATTGTCAGTGTTATATTAATATACACATACTTAACATAGTATGGTTGTTATGGTAGCCAATAATCTTTTTTATCAACATATGATAATCTAGATGTTGGCGATATAGAAAACAAGCGAAATATGAAGTGCGATTCCAACCACAATTCGAGTAATAATATTTTCTCGGATTTAGATTGTATTGTACAAAGAAGGACAATATTTACGAATAGTGTTCATTTCTTCCCCGTAGACTCACCTTTGCATGTGTGCTTGCTAGGTAAAACCCTGTTTTAAACTTTTTCATGGATGGCATAGCGTCTCGTGACCGCTGTTCTTCTACCTCCATCTTAATGATAGCGTTTGTCACGCGTTCTTGCAGCTCTTCTGAGAATTTAGTTGCGTCCAATCGATTTGCTATTTTAGGATGGATTGACCTCAAAACTGATTCCAAACTGATGCTATTCAGCTTGTAAAAATCATACTGAAAATATGTAAAATAAAATTGTCTATTTCATGATTTCATGAGTTTGTAAGCCTCACATAAAGTTAGGAAATATTAGGAAAACTAGAATTGCTAAATATAATCACTCTTACTTTAGCAATATACATTACATCCAAATTACAAAAAAATAGGAACTGTATAATAAGACTAACTGTAATATCTTGCCCAATTTGACTTCAAAACTCAAAATATTAATGAATAACTCCGAGAAGAACAGGTACTTACCGCGGTTGAGCTTAGCAGGAAAAGTGCTTGGTCATCTTTCAAATCAACAGCTCTCAACCTTTGAAGCAAGTCTAAGTCGATCGTGACCCCCTCCAGAAGTCCTTTAAAATCGATCAAGCTCATACCAGGGATCAGATGAGTCATATCAAGCAATAGGTTTTTTCTTTCGATCGGATTGGTTTTCTTTTTCAATTCTTTTGCAACAGTTTTTCCTATTTTGCGGCGCAGTTGTTTACTCCCCTTGAAGACTTGGATATTTCGGATGACCTCTAGCATATCAGCACCGGGTATGGCTAACATAGTCTTCTGTGGTACTATACCAAGGCTGATGGCACTAGAATTGAATGCATTCATGTTATTTGTTTTTATGCGGGTTTGCCATTCTTATTTAAAAATAAATTAAGCATAATAGCTGTTAGCTAGACACACGTTCTAAAATCAAAAATGGACCACAAGAAAACATTCAAGAGCTGAAGATATTGTAGGTATAAAAAAAGCTAAAAAGAACAGATAAATGACGATTCTACAAGTTTACCTTGCAACAAAGTTGAGGTCCTTTTCTTCACCGGCCTTATACATATTAGCGACCTTTTTTCCCGCCTTTAAACCAATGACGCTCCTTTGGGCCGTTGTCATCTGCTCAATATCCAAATTTGTAAGGAACGCACGGTCAATCTAAAATGAAATTTTGAACATAAGTAAAGAATTTAAAGTAAGAAACTGAAAAAGACTGAGGTTTCGGTCGCACCACCCCCCCCCCCCCCAATCTGACGGCCATATTTTTACTTCTCAGCATTGTGTCAATCAAAATATTGTCTAAGTCTGCAATTGTTTTTACTCTAAGATGTGTTTCAAAAATATCCTGTATATGAAAACATTCACAAAATAATGTAATTATTCAATTTCGAGTACTTGGGGAACTTTACACATTAGAAATCAGCTAAAATAAATGATATGCATACACGTAGGTGGGTCAACTCACTCGGTTATCTGGAAATTCCTTCAATTTTTCGACAGGAACCCCCTTTAATTGACGTGCAATTAACACTGCTTTGGATGCACTGATGGTCTTGAAGTTGAGTCGCTCAATATCTGGTGACATTTCACTTGGTCGTTGGATAGGAGCATCTGGCTCTATGAACTTAAGGTAGTCTTTGTCGACTTCCAATTCTCCAAGTGTACCTATATTGAATCAGTCCAATGTTCATGAGATAAGACAGTCTAGTAGGAAATTGAATGGTGAACATGTGTGCCAAACATCAGGGCAACATTTCTAAAAATGACAAAGATATGAGAAAAAATTAGGGTTGCCGTTTTTTTACCACCCTGTATCTTATTCAATTGTTATAATCATACATGTATGAATGAAATAAACTAATAAACTCAACTAAAGGGATCGAAATAAAGTAAACTAGTTAAAAGCATTATACTGACCATATTAAAGGCAATGATATCCCAGATTTATACAATAAATTAAAATAAAATATGCAAGAACAAACAGTTATGACGTAATAGTTGATATGCAAGTCGACATATCTGCATATTTTATAAATGGTTTCATCGCCCATATATTACCTTTCATTCGGTGCAAATTTCATCTAAATCTGAGCAATAATGACAAAGATAGGGGTCAAACACTGAAAACAGCCCAGAAAAGTGGGCGTGGCATATTTACTTCGTTACCATTGCAACGCCGTAGCGGATTCATAATTGCCAACTTAATATTTCCTGATTGCATTACCTATTACCTTCCATTTGGTGTGCATTTCATCTAAATCTGAGCAATAATGACGGAGATGGAGGCTATACATTGAAAAGAGCATCTAAAAGTGGGCGTAGTATCATGAACAGTTCATGTAATATGTGTCGCTTAGCTCACCTCTAAACAGGACACGGAATGACCTTTGCTCCCATTCTATATGGTATAGAGGTTCAAATATTATTTCTTTATATCTATAATGAAAACCTCAGGAACACACTTGTTTATTAAGGCTAAATAAAGACTAAAGTATGGATAAATCGTGTTACCTGGTTCTATCATTGAAGCAACTACTCCTCTGATTTCAGTCGTAGCGTCGGTGATGCTTTTTGCTGTGCTATAGATGACATCAAACCCAGCGATAACACTGCCTTCCCTGAAGAAAATGTTAATAAATGATAAAACACAATTAGTTGCCATTTATTTATTTAAGCCACCATATTTGGTGTGTTTACAGAGGGATTTCACATTATTTTACTTTCAATTAATATCATCTATAATTTATAATTATAATTTATTTAAAATTAGAGACCAGTATCTAGTCTGTTTATGTAACAAAGTAACATTTCTAATTGTTTAATTTTAATGTAATTTATGTATTCAATATGTACCTTGTGTTCCTGGGTTCTATTCCAGTGTAGTCGGTTATATCAGCAAACGCACTCGCCACCTATAAATGATGACAACAAGTAGAAAATATGTAAAATGTAATCATTTAGAACTCGTCACATATACTCCTCAAAAAAAGTTAAGTAGGCACGTGTAGGTAGGTAGGTAGTTACCAGTTTCGCCACCAGGTGGCTGATTCGGGGGAAATAACATGTCAGGGTATAACAAAATTCCCTTAAACTTGAATATGCATCAGTTTTAGTGGTTCACTTTTCAAATTACCCTTGTGTATCTGATAGTTATACAAATTAAAATATGTCCAGTAAAAGAAAATATTATCTGCCCAACACAAGAAAGGATATTTCACTTTTTGTAGTTTTACAACATGGGGTCTATGGGGAATCTCACTTACTTACTTGTGAATTGTTATTGACGTACACAAATCAAGATTACTTCTACTCGCATCTAGGATATTCCCTAGTATTCTCAGTTTTCCAATTGCAACTTAATATTTCATGACTGTACTTTAAGTTTCGACAATTAGGAAAATTGACCTGCCTATGATGTTTTGATCCGCGTCAAGTTAACGTTCTAACATCATATACTCACCAATGGCTTTAGATCATTGAAAAGGGCCACGGTCTCGGTGCTGTCGGGTGTTCCATAAGTATTGTCAGTATAAACTATTTGAGGAAATCTCAGCTCAACGTAAACAGCAATTCTTTCTGTAAAATAAAGGATGTGATTTTTATATGTAACAACATGTAGCCTTCTCCTTATAATGCTCACTCTTTAGTTATTGTTTTTTTCATTTATATTGAATTCGATGACCAATTACCAGTGACTAAAGGCAAAGTCATTCGCTTAGATTTCGTTTAGCTTAGTTCGATTTGTAAACAAAAGGAGTCAGTTTAGGTAATGATATTGGATATCCTCGAATTTAAAGATCTGAAGATGAGATTTGTTTCCCTGTAAAGGTCTTTTAGTTCTGTACTATAATGACTTTTTGATTAAATGGCAAGATATATTAAAGGCAAGATATATTAAATTCCAGACAACACTTTTTCAAATTAAATAACCATCCGCATTATTGGATTCATTTTATAGCAAGACGAGTGCTTATACTGGTCGAATGTCCAACTTTTAGAGTTGAACCAGTGTTGAGTGTTGACTTATTAACCTTGAAACCTTGCACAAACGTTTAATTGCAAAAACACTATTTTAAGTGGAATGAATGAATTTAAAGCACACGACTGGGTGAATTTATTGCATCCTAGACTTTTACTGCATGTTACCGCACTCATTTTAAGTTTTGAAACCAAAAATTGGAAAAACAGAAATAATCTTATTGAAACAAAACATTCGTTGTTAAGTCATCTTACAATCCACTGCCGAAGTTCTGGGTTTAAATTCTCAAGTCATTGATTTATATGTATTGGAAAAATAGATATAATCTTATATTTTGCATATGTTTGCACGTACAATATTGTTAGATTTGCTTTGTTTTTAAAAGTAAGATACCAGGACGTTACTATGCCTCTTGTTTTTGATGACGTATATATAATGTCCAAGTAGAATCAAAACGTGAATCGAACTTCGGATAGGCATATTGCTTTTGAAACAAAACATTCTTTGTTAAGTCATCCTACAATCCATTGCCGAAGTTCTGGGCTTAAATTCTCAAGTCATTGCTTAATATGTATTGGAAAAACAGAAATAATCTTATGTTTTGCATATGTTTGCATGTGCAATATTGTTAGATTTGCTTTGTTTTTAAAAGTAAGATACCAGGACGTTACCATGCCTCTTGTTTTTTGATGACGTATACATAATGTCCAAGTAGAATCAAAACGTGAATCGAACTTCGGATAGGCATATTGCAGTATTAAGTGCATATTCAATAATGCCAAACACGGACAATAGAACAAATTTCTTCTCATCATTAATATTTAATATGCATTTGTTTCATTTGAAAGCCAATTGATATTTTTGTAAAAAAAAGATAAACACATTAAATAATTATGTATATACTGATTACGATATTGATTCTTAGTTACACACCCTTTGTTTGTTGCGTTGTTGTTGTTGTTGGTTTTTGAGTTGTTGTAGTCGATGCTCTTGTCGTCGTCGTCGTCGTCGTCTCGGTTGTTGTTGTTTGTGTTGTCATCGCAACAGTTGTTTGTGTTGTGGTAGTAGGCGGGGTGGTAGTCGCTGTAGACGTCGTTGTTGGCGTTGGTGTTGTCGTGGTTGACGTTGATGTTGTGGTAAACGCAGTAGTGGGCATTTCAGCTGTTGTTGTTGTTGTTGATGGTATTGAGGATGTCGTATCTTCTGTACCAGTCCCGTCCCCCGAACCCCCCGATCCGGTATCCCCCGATCCATCAGATCCTTCTGGGTCTCCTGATCCCCCGGAACTATTATTGTTGTCGCCGTTCCCCGATGTTTCCCCGGAACCAGTTATGACATCCGCCTGACGGGTATGACGATGATGTTTCGCCAAGAAGACTAAAAATGAATATAATACGTATGCAGAAATAATTAGTATGAAAGAGAAGGGCCATTTAATTTCATGTGGGGCAAAACTATAGCTTTTTAAAACTGGGTCCAAGAGTTTATTTTAACTAAAACACAAATCCCTTCAGCTCATTCTACCTATTTTCAATATACGATCAAATTCCCAGCTTGTACATGTACAGTATAATAAAAATATCAATCAACTAGCTGGGTACCACATTAATTTTTCAATTTTCTAAATCCCCACAAAAATAAGATTACATGGTCGACCCCTAAGACTTACAACGAGTCCATTTCCACTACAAATTGACACAAGCTATCGTTGAATGTATCGGATTACAGTGTAGAAAACAGACTAAATATGTTTCTGTGATATGATATGATAGGCCTACTTAAAGTTAAAATGTTACTTACACTCATTTTCCAGCACTTCGTCATCAGCTGGTGTCGCAATCACCAAACCTGAAAATATAAGTAATGATACATGTAAAAATATAATAAAAGCGAAGTTTAAATGTGATTTGTACGACAAATAATTATTGTAAATAGATAAATAATTCATCAATCAAACCAATTTATTAGTCAACAATAACAAACGTGTAATTGTTCCGCGAAAAAATCATTTATTATAAAGAAAAACGTATGCGGAGGGGATGCATGAATATATGCAAGTGCAAATGTTTGACCATCGGTATGTGGACATTGTCAATTTAGCATGGCGCCTGAGTCTATTAATTTTGACTCCTGAAAGGTAATCTAGGTTGACATAAAGGAATGAGACGGTAGCAGAAACTAGCGCGAGTTAATTGTACTTATTCTATAGTAGGGGTTTTGGCCAAGGGGGAGGGGGGCTGTCAAAATAATTATCAATTAAACTGTCTGATACAAACCAGAATTTGTCTTAAAGCTAAAACCAAGAAATATCACTTGTTTATTAATGTCGAATGTGCAATCTTTCGAAACAATAAAACAGCTGACAAGAATGTATTCACATTTTTGTTACAATACAATAAGTATTGTAATACCAAGAGGGCAAAAAGGAGAAAGGTAAAATGGAAAAAATAATAAAACTAGAGTATTAAAATGAAAAATAACTTACCTGTTCTTATGAACAAGGCTAACGCTGAAAAGAGTAGAATGTTTTTCATCCCACGTTGTGATTTTTCGCCGATTTTCTGATTTTAATATCCACAAATGAAGTCCTTTCTATTGTGGTCGTGATGAGTAGTGTTTTTGTTTTTATTATATCTCAAACATATGTCTTTCTGTTGTGTTTGTGCCTTGCTATGGGCAACGTTTATTGTCACTTTGGTTGATAGGGACGTATAGTTGTCACATCAATATTTCATAACTTAAAATCAATTGAGGTATCGATAGTCATTGTATCCCAAAATATATATCTTATCTGCTTTGTATAAAAACTAAAAAAAACATACGGTTTCAAGTGAAATAAGCCTCTCAATTAAAATATCTATGTTTCCATTTCCTAGTTCAATGTGGGTTTCTCCAGCGTGGTGTATTTTTGTGGTGACATCACTTCCCACGTCGGTCACTATCCTAGTGTTAATTTTGAAATGATACATTTTGAGGAATCTATTAGACAGCAATGTGATTCATTTGGGAAAATTGCTAGATCATGTAAGTAACCAGTGGTTAATTGTTTCTTTGCATTCCAGCCAGCTTTAGTTTTTAGTTTTCCGTCTGTAAAATACTTTAAGGTTTGTCTAGTCAGTCTTGAAATAATAACAGTGCCATGATACACCCTTTCATAGTTTAGTAATTTATGTTTCACTAAAAAAGCTACATATCCATGGAATTAATGCAAATAATTGAATGTGAATAAATATCACATCAATACCCCAATATGGAGCTATCTTTTGCCAAATATTGCGCATATAGGCATTTTTCGAGGATTAGTTGCTAAAAAAAACGGTTCAATTTATGCCTATAATTGAATAAACCAGTTATATCAGTTGTGATATTTTTCATAAATCAAAATCAATTTGACGTTTCGTAACTAATGTTTTGTATTCTAGTAAGATTTCCCAAAGTACATGCCAAGGATGTCTCCAAAAATTATTTACTTGTTTATGCGTAGTAAAATACAGATGCGGGCATGTTAATTGGACCAATGGGCACCGAGTGAAATATGACATCTACAGTTCCACGACAGCTATTTTGTAATAGTGCAATGGTACAACCATTTTTTCTATGAAAGTGCAATACAAAAAAATTCATGATTAAGAAAACATAATAAATATGCGAATTCGAAACAGTTTAAGTAACGTTGCGGATAATAATCAGAAATAGTTTATAATAGAATCTAAACAATTTGTGAAAAACAGTAAACGATCGCTAACACTCCTACTTCACTGGTGATCCGCTCGATTACGCTGGTAACAAAATGTCGGAACGTCGAAGGTACGATTTTATGTTTTCCTTATTTAACTCGTTGTAGGCAGAATTCCCAAGACGTTTTTTCTCACAAACGTGTATCAGCATCATATGTTTTAGAAAATGTACATGTTTGCGAAAGAATAGCTTAGAAGACAACAGAATCGTCGATTTAATTCCTCACTTAAGTTACATAAACGGTTTGGGTTAAAAGTGCAGATCTTAACTGTTTTTCGAAAAAACGTTTATGTAACTTAAGTGAGAAATTAAATCGACGACTCTGTTGTCTTCTGAACTATTTGTTCGCAAATATGTACATTTTCTTAAACATATGATACTGATACACGTTTGTATTAAAAATGTCTTGGGAATTCTGCCTACAACGTGTCGAATAAGGAAAAAACAAAAATCGTACCTTCGATGTTCCGACATTTTGTTACCAAAACGAACCGTTTCGGTAACCAGCGTAATCGAGAGGATCACCAGTGTACTTGCTCAAACATACAAATACATTCTACGCAGACGGCTTAGTGACAGACCTATTGATCCGGGCAACGTTTTGTTACTGTTATTACCAATCTTATTATTCGTCTCATTTCAACAAATCATCGACCTTTCTTTTTCAAACTACATATTTCGCGTGTATTTTATTTCTGAAATTAACAAACGTTCAGTAGAGGTAGGTAAAATGCCACAAATTCCATTTTATATGAACACTACTGAATAAATCATCGATTCAGAGATGGCAATGAAAGGCGAATGTATCCTCCTTTCTAAGAGTTTGATTTCATAAAAACATGCTAACAACAATGCCATCTTTAAAAGAACATACTTATACTGTATATGCGAATACAAACCTCAGCATTTCTAATCTTTATAGTCTCTAAAAGCCCTAGGGTAGTATTGGACTTGTGTGATAGAACACTGTCATATTGGAAAACCGAATTCCTTCCCAATTTCTTTAACACATTATTAGACTAATGATGGGAGTATTTTTGCTCTCGGTTCAACAAAAGCAGGTTCGATCTTTTCTTCTTTGGAAATAACGAGTGATATGCCACGTTGAAATCTTAATTGTTGGAAGATACACAATATTGGACAGCACGATCTAATTTGCCCACAAAAATAACAATATGTCTCTGATGTTTTTTGTTGACTGTTATTTAAAGGTAACCTTTATTGGCACTTTCTGGCGAAGCTTTCAACATATGACACATCTCCAATGTAAATTAAACCAGTGTGTCGGAGGATAAAAATATTACACAAATCGTATATGCATAGTAAAAGTATTTCATGTCATGGCTAACACATATCTAACATCAAACTTATGGAGGGGAGTGTATGTCTGTGATTAATGAGCCCGAATTTGTTTTACTATTAATTAATATTTTCAACTTTCAATATTTATTTCAATTTTCAAACATGTTTACAATCATGTCAAATGATTTGACCAATCAACGTACTGTAATTTATTTTGAGATATTACAATCACTCGTGATTTATTGTATTATTGTGCTCGTGACTTTCTATTGAAACAATATTTGTTAATCGACATATCAAAATTATGAAAACTGCAACCAGTACACATGTCTTTGAGTGCACAATATAAGTTTCTGTACATTTGATTAACTAGTCTTGAAATATTCATGTGAATTAACGACACGTTTATTTTGCATGACTGTGAATATAAGCAAAATCGAAGCACACAGAATGAAATATATTTCTAACATATATATATTGTTGCGTAAGAGCAATAAGGGCTAAGTTGCAAATCTGTGGAGAACGAATCCATACTTGATATTTTACTCAAGGATAACAATAGTAGGGTTATTGATCAAACATTATTTATCATGTATTACATAACAAGACCTTGTGATAGCCACTACCTACTTTCTTAAGAACATATATCTACATATTCATAAGCTCATATTGGATCAAAGATATCGTTCGAGGAAGTGTATACTGTATAGGCCTACTTAAATCAATGATCTAAACATGAATTTTCATCTGCGTCATATACTATCCTTTTTGACGCTCATAGCCTCATGTAGCGTTAATGGGAAAACTGTGGATACGGAATATGGGAAAGTGGAAGGTTATGTGTCAAATGTTGGAACGAAACCTTTGGATGTCTTCCTAGGAATTAAATATGCGGTGCCACCTGTTGGCAATTTAAGATTCACAGTGAGTTATTCATATCTATAGTAAAGTTAGTTTGCAAAAATAAAACAAGGAATTAAAATATTTCGAATGTAAAATAAATGCCTCGAGAACAACTTGTTCGAATTCCACAAAGTATAAATGAGAAAAATGGTAATTTTGCTTTCATCAACGCCTTTTATGCTCCAGCGCCCGCAAACACCGGATAACTGGGCACCGGATGTGTGGAACGCCACCTATTACCGGGCTGTGTGCATGCAGGTTCCCGTTCTGGTTGAGATAAGCCTTCCTGACGATTATGAAGTTGACGAAGATTGTCTTTACTTGAACATATTTGTTCCCCCAAGGGTAAGCACTAATTAGGAGAATTCCCATTACTTTCTTTATACTCTTGTTTTTCGTCCCTTGTCACCTACCTACGTAGTTACGCCTTGGTCACATTTGCTCCGATTCATCGACCGGTGCCCGCGCGATTGAGCATTCAGTTCAAAACTGAATACAATTTTGAACACAATACTCAATCGGCCGGGCGCCAGCCGATAAATCGGAGCAAATGTGACCCAGGCATACGTCTGCTCAACAAGAGAATAGTTTAAACATATTTTCCACTTTCAGAGCAACAATTCAGAACTGTTACCAGTCCTCTTCTTTATCCATGGTGGTGGGTTCACAGGATCGAGTGCCCAACAACATCCGGGACACTACCTTGCTCAGAATGACATCATTGTTGTCACGTTCAATTATAGGATGGGACCATTTGGTATGTGTTGAGCAATGTCGTTCTATTAAAAATGGGTTTGCTGAATATTGAAAGTACAACAATCTTACTAATGCCTAGTTCGATGCATCGTCGGGGCACGCCGGTCGATTAGTATTTTTTCAACATCGCCCTGACATTATACGGGCGCTGGCCGATCATCGGCACATTTTTAGACTTCGTTCGGGCGTCGCGAGAATTTCATTCCTGACATAAATATTGCCGATATTTTGCCGATTTTTCTCTCTGTCAAACTCATCGGAGCCTACTCCGCGCGCCCGTACGGTCATCGTACGATTATCATAAGACTATTGCTGTCATCGTACGCTCATTTTGTGATTTCAATGAATGAATAAAAGTCATTCTAATTAGTAAATTATTATATAAGAGTTTTCACAAATCAAATGTAGTACAAACACATGTATTATACGATATAAATCAAATGAAGATGGCCAGACGGATGCCATAAGGCAATCATATCGTAGGTTACCGTGCGGTCATCGTACGATTCCAATGTATCAAACTGTTTACGGCCGCAGTATGATATGTCAGGATACTCACGATTAATGCAAAATATCGGAGAAAAGTCCCTGTCAATCGCACGATTTCACGGTAACCAATGGCGGGCGCCCGGCGCTTATGTGAGCTAGGCAATAAGGACGGATCTCGATATTTACAAGGGGATTGGGAAGAGCAACGTTTTTTAACGAACTTTTGCCTCCTTTGAAATGTGCATTTTCTAAAAAATCCTCTTTTGAGAACGTACACTTTGGTTTGGGTTTAAAACGACAAAAACGACGACAGTCATTTACACAATTTATTGCCCAATATTGAAATGTCACTTTAACTTTGAATATATTTTTGTATATTTATATTGTTGAATATGTTTTAACGTAAGATAGTTCCTTAGGTACAGATGTTATATACGGTCCGTGTATTTTATCGTATGCCACGATTCGCGGTCTCTTTCAAGACCTGAATCCTGTACTGAAGTTCGACATCGTGCTTGTGTAGTTCCTTGTAATGTTTCCGGCCAGCTGACCACTGAAATATATAGATAATTTAAACCTCGAATACAGTTTGTTAAATAGTTTAAACATTGTGCATTTTAATTTTTTTCATTAACCTCCAGAAAATGGCATGTGTGGGACTCGCGGAAATGTAGCTCTAACTGTATTTAGGAAACGCTAAATCTTGAGTACCTAGATTCAATGATATTATAATACTGCAATAATAAGCTGATTTAAACATGAAAATCCAAATCAAATACAGTGAATGCATATCACTTCTGTTAACTGATAATAAATGATACCGTTGTGAGGTCAAGAACAAAGTAACTTGTGATTGATTCAATATTTGGTAAAATATGATTTAGGAGATTTAATTAAATTTCTTCTTTATCTAATCGTTTGGAACTTTCTGTTATGTTTATATTAAACTTTATGAGCGTAAATGTTACAATGGGAGGGCTTGATGCATACTCGTAAAACAATTTAAACAACGTACTTGTACTACACCTGGCCCGGTATTATATCAAATCTAATTCCAAGCAAAAATAAACAGAGTAGCGTACATGGATTTAGAATTTTGAGAACAATTATCATAGCTGGATAGAGACCAAAGAATTTAATGATAAAAGGGACAAGTTAGAGGTTGTATACTAACTAAAATGTGTAATAAACATAGGCTCCTGTCCCAAACTCGCAATAGTTCTTGACACGATTTGATATGCGCTTGCCTGAGAACATATAGTGTAATTGCTTAAAATATTTTAAACGTTTTATAATAATCAAAGTTTAGTTTTTACTTACAAAGAAATTACTTTGAGCAAGCTTTGATTTCTTCTTTTCCAGGCATTCTTGTTTCCGCTTTGTTGCATTGTCCAACTTTTCCTGTAACTTTTGAGATATCGCTTCGCTCGTCATGATATTCGTTAATGGGGGCTGCAGGTAACGGGATGACACCTTCCGTATCGGCATGATGTACTTTGGTACAACCGCCCTTGGTTGAAGAACACGGGGTCCATCAACATTTCTAAGATTAGATGTCGACTTTTCTTTGTCACTGTTTATCAATGGTTCGTGGGGATTTTCTTTTGGAAGTTTTGGAAGAACTCCTCGTAATTGTTCCTGATCATAAACAAATTCTCGTTCTCTCGATCGTGAATTGTTTCGATTTTCATTTCGATTTGTTCTCAAGGCCAGCCCTGGGTTATTCGCTGTGACTCGAAGGTAAAGCTCTCTCGCTTCATCTTGCATCCGAATCAAATCCTGTAGGTCTTCGGACGACAGGGTTGGATCAGGATGTACAAAATTGTCACCCGACTCTAACGGATCATCAACCCCTTGTAATTGAGGCGCAAGAAGCGATTCTATATTCTCCATATCATCGTCCAGATCGTCGATCGGGGACGTGGGTTTTATTGGAGGAAGGGGTCTTGATGGACGTAGTCTATTGCCGCTACACCGTGTGCAAACGTAAATTTGGGCCTCGGTTTGACTACTCGAGTCAACTCTACTTTCCATTAACAAGGTTGGGCCGACCAGATTTTTATTAGGTAGCTTGCTTTTTACGCTAGTCACTTTACGACGGTTGCTACATATCGATTCATGTGAATCGGAGTGGTTTGCAATAAAATCATCGGTGTGGTTCTTTGCGGTGTTATCTGCATTATCCGCACCCAACTCTTTATCAAATTCCTGAACAACATCACCTTCCTCCTTTTTAGATGTTCCATTCGAAGCGAGTTCTTCTAAGGGGTTGCATTCTGGTTGATCTTGAATATAATTCTGTACGTCACTATATTTCAGCTCGAGGTCATATTCTCGTTCATAATCAGGAGATTCAATGTCGGAGTATGTAAACGAGCATTCGTCATCAAACTCTTCTAAATCTGGTTCATTCTCGATGCTCTTTGCGCCTTCCATAGCATATCTGCTCATGAATATGACAATATCATACCGTTGTTAAAACAACATGTTTGTTATATTGGTTACCAAGGAATAAACTATGACGTCATTCATTGAATGACGTTTTACCGGGGAAGTCGGATTAGAATCAGAGGTCAATAAGTGCAAATTCATATTTAATGCAGTAATGGTGATTACAGGTATCAGTTGCCGGGTAATCTTAACTGTATTTTTTCTCCATCATTTATTGTTTCCTATTTTTCGTAGGATTTCTAACGCTTCAAAGTGACACAGCCCGGGGCAATTATGGACTGTTTGATCAACTGGAAGCATTAAAGTTTGTCAACAGAAATATTAAAAACTTTGGAGGGGATCCATCTCGTGTTACCATCGGTGGTGAAAGTGCCGGTGCTGTCAGCTCTGCTGTTCACTTGATATCGCCAATGTCATACCCTAAAGGTAAGAATGATAAGTTAAACATATAGATTCTGTCAGAGGATTTTGGACGTCTTATATTATAGACCGCATTGATTAAGACAATAGGGACTTTAAGCTTGCATATAAAATCTAAACGCCAACCTAAACGTATGACCAATCGCAAATACGAAGCATCGCATAGATATTTTCCGTTCACGTTTAGGTTGTGAAAAACATTGCTACCTTAATCTCAATTGACACCCGTGCTTCCAGCATGCTTTCAGCACTGGCATACGATTGACACATGCATCTATGGACGACTTTGGGCTGACGCGATCGCCACGTTTGAAAATAATATCAAGAATTTAAAATGAAGATAAAGCCAGTGAGCTAGTCTTATGGCCTAGTCACATAGCCCGGCCGATGTCCGGCATCGGTAGAGCTCGGTGGATTTTTTTGGTGCCACCGAGCTCTCCTCATCGGAAGCAAAGCTCGGTGACGTAAACGGACTCCGTCCGGACATCTTCAGGCGACCGACCGAACACCGGCCGGTGACCGTACGGAGTTTGTCTCAAAATGGTAGTTTTTTTCTGCCGATGTGGCAGCAACTACCGGCCGGAGGTCGGCCAGACATCGGAAGGAATACGGCCGGTACCCGTTCATGGAACAGGACACCGTGCGATCTCCGGCCGGGTTGTTAACGGGCTTTGAACAGTGACCGGCCGATGCTCTGTCCCACATCGGCCGGAGCTCGGTCGGAGCTCGGCCTCTGTTCGTTAAAAAACCTCGTCCTCTGGTTGTCTCAGATGCACGGGACACCGGCCGATACTCGGCCGTGCACCGGCCGACGTGTTTTCCGATGTGGTTACGATGGGGCTGCGATGACATGATGAGGGAGCTCGGTGAGAGCCCGGTGAAATTTAACTCCGAAGTTAAAATTTCACCGAGCTACCACCGATGCAGTTTTAAGCAACAAACGCCACGTATGTCCGGCCGGTGTCCGGCCGGTGTTCGGCCGAGTTCGGTGAAAAATGCATCGCTGGCTCATCGTAACCTCATCGGCCGGGCTATGTGACTAGGCCATAAAACTCAGTGTCCATTTTTAGGTTTATTCTCCCAGATCATACTCCAAAGCGGAAGTGACGTTGTTCCCTGGGGTATAACCGAGGCGGCCATCGTAGTACCACGGAACTACGCCCTCCAGCTGGCGGACTTATTAGATTGTCCAGATGTGACATCTGATGATGCAATACTCGAGTGCCTCCGAGACCCGGATGATGACTACATTATGTCACTTGCTGGGCTGATTGGTGTGGAATCAAAGGCAAGTGTTTTTATCACAAAAATTTAGTGTGAAAATGGCCACACTTTGCTGCAGACGTAAGTACAAATATATGTATGCCTTAATTTGCTCCAACAGACCGGAATATAAAAGATTGCCCATTGCAATATAATATAAATTGGCTTTTCACGTTGCTGAACGGTAGTGATATTTAAGAAACGTGTTCAAGATGCATTCACCCAACACGGGCACTAAATAAAGGGATACATGTTTGATTCCAATACAATTGCGTTTTCAATTTAATGTTCATATATTTTAGCCTGGCATGTTAACTCTCAGCTGGGCACCAAGCGACGATGGACCAGGAGGTATCATACCTGAACATCCTCGAATCGTGCGTAAACGTGGTGAGGTACCAACAATTCCTGCATTAATTGGAATAACTTCTCACGAGGCTGCTTGGTTCGCAGGTAATTTAACATAATAAGGAATAGCTGATTACCACATTACTTACATTGAGAAATTGACTAAACCTTGTTGTTAAATCTTGTTTGTCCACATTTCTACTACCATTTGCATTCGTTCGACGTCACTTCTTAAAATATAGCTTTGTCTTCATTGCTTTTGCAGACTTTATTGAAGGTGTATCGGAAGGAGTCAACCGAACGGTTTTCAAAGATCTCGTAACCCAAATGATCGAAGGTTTCCTGAATATCGACGAAAATGATAAACCTGCACTTATTGATGCAGTCGTTTTTAAGTATACGGATTGGACTGACGAAGAAAATCCGTTACTCTATAGAGACGCCATAACACAGGTGCGACATGAATGACATGAATCATCAATAATATAGTTTCGATATAGCTTTTGAAATCTCGCTAAATCTCGTTTTTCGTGAGATTTTAAGAGATTTGCATAGGCATATTTGAATTCAGTGAAATGTTTTCTCCTAAAAAAGCTTTTATGTAATTTAAAATAATTTTCTATGACAATTTAAAAAAACTTGGGCAAAATCTCCATAGGTGCAATGCTAAAATTCTTTAAAACTTTGGATTATTTGTATGTCAACCAACATTTGCATGTTTAATCACAACATGTATAAACAGGGTCATCATGTGATGACAGCACTAGATGTCATTGTTTTTTCTGCTATTTAGAATTAAACTATCCTATTAATATGTTTGCTTTTAGCACTCAACACAAATATAAATTAATGAATTCGTGTTGAAATTTTGTTGAACGTATTTTGAATTATTTCGTAGGCCTTCACCGATGTTTCCTTCGGCAATGGAATGGACCAGTGGGCACGTTACAACACACTAAAGAGCGACACGTATCAATATGTGTTTGCGTACAGGAGTGAGATGAACATTCTTCCCGACTGGTACGGTAAGTATATACTGTATATTGTCCATCTAAATGAACTAACCGGGTATGCATCATCTTATAGAAAATCATTATGACATACATGTACATGCCCAACGAATAAAATTAGTTATTTTTTCATTGACGATCGGTAGCTTATTAAAACTCGGCCGCGTCACTCCACATCTTCAATGACTGAACAATTAAGGTTTCTAAATGAATATTCTATTCCAAATTGCAACTTTATGCGTCTTAAATATTTATAAGTTTCAATAGAGTATTTCTTTAATAAAATGTAAATTGTGAGGGATCAGTTTGCATGTTGTTCTAGGATATTTTTTTTCAATTTCCGGTTTTAATTTTTTGCATAAATATTCAATCATAATGTTATAGGTGTTCCACATGCACTAGACGTTCCGTATACGTTTGGTTATCCACATGTTGTTACCAACCAGGCATTCGCCAAGGAAACTGGTATAGCTGCTATATTTAACTGGACCGATGCCGACCGTGCGGCAAGTGACGAAATGACAAAATTGTGGGCGAACTTTGTCAAAACTGGGTAGGTGATTAGCTGAATATATCCAAAGTTTTAGCAATGCACGTCCTCATTTAGAATACGTGTTATTATAAGGATTTAAATTTAAATACCAATTCATACATAGCTTGGCATAAGGTGTGTCCTAGTCCAACCAATCCGAACACAGTATTTTATATAACTACAGTGCATTATGTCACAAATCACGCATCCAAGGTCACTCCTCGTATGGTTTTCAGGTTGACAACCGGACTCTACAGATTGAAAAATTGATACTTTGTCACATTGATCCCGACAAAAAGTTTCGATGAAAACATGTATTTTAGTAATTCGCATATTTTACGTCATTTCGTAGAAACTATTTCGCAATATGTGAAAAGAACTTAAGCCTGCACTGTGCCTGGTTCATTCCATCCAGGTGTTGTTTTTTAAACTTTGCATTGCCAGGGAACGTTCATTAAACAAGGCATTTTACGGCATAATATTGTAAATTCTGATTACCATTCTCGGCACATTAACCCCTCGTCTATTATTGTAAAATTGTCTACTACTTGTAAGTGTAAATGTGCTCCTTGTTTAAAGCCATCTGTTTTCCCATCTCCATTTGTAAGCACGACTATTGTTTTGCTTTTTCATTTTTATGCGTAAATATGCATCATTTTGTTTCAGCAATCCAACACCAGACACAAACACATGGAAACCCTTCAAGATGAATGACTACAAGTATCTAAATATTGCAAAGCCCGCAAATAAGTTAGAAAAAGATTTTAGAATCCGGGAATACGCTTTCTGGAGGGAATATGTCCCCAAACTAGTTAAAGGTAAATTCAGTGAAACGTGAAAACTTATAACATCAATATAGTGATTTTCTATAATATGAAAATATAAATAGCGTATAAGAAAGTAAGTTAAATGAGATTGTGAGTTAAACAGCTACAAGCCATGTTTTGCCGTTTTAAATCAAAGATGGCGTAATGATATTGTATTTTCAGTTGAAAATGACATTCCTTCTCAGACGACACCGAAGAAGATGCCACGTACCACATCAAATCCTCTAAGAACAGGATCATCAATCACCGAATCACCAAAAATGTCTTCATCCTCACCAATGCGATCTACACAAACATTACAAACTTTAAAACCAACAACAGACGGCACAGCAACCGGAAATGAAGACAAACAAACAAACGAGAAACTAAAAATGACAGATAGATGGCGTATTGCAACAATAGTTGTTTCTTGCGTGGCTGGATTGCTTCTGCTGGTAACACTCGGCTTGATATTTATGAAATGTTCCACCAAAAATAAAAGTGAAGAAAATAAAAGTTTAGACTTTGAATTGAGCAGAAATGACTCTGCTAACTATTATGACAACGTAGCTTCGAAGTACTAATTAAACCACTTGGATCAAAGATGCCAAGCCCTACCTTTGCGGACTGAACGAACAATTATTAGTGTGATGCCACTGCCACTGCCACTGATCAATAAAGCAATCAATGTAACAATGTTCAACATTCAATATTGATTTATTATATTCTCAAATAAAATACACAAAATTGCAGAGCATCATGTAAGATATCTTTGTGTGCTGAGATGGCGATTGTTCATAGCTCATTTCATGATAACGATAGCTGTATATTTATCACAACAATGGTGACGTTTTTATGACGACTCTGGCAACATTGATATGTTTACAAGTTCTGTCTTATTCACATTTTCCTGAAAATATATGTGATAGTATACATTGAATACATATAAATGATTCATTTAGCACCAGTTCATAAATATGCATGTGTTGTGCTATTACAGTGGACTGTGTAAGATAGGTCGGCGTTTTGTACAAATGGCAGCAGGTTGGGAAATTGAACATGTTTAAGCCTTATTTAGAATATATCTCTCCCGTACTCTGACATATTGTTCGATCAGTTAAAGGTTTTCCTTTCACATTTTAGAATGCACACTTAATTACCATAAAGGGACGAGAACGGGGCTTGAAGGAAACTTGCATCTTTCTTGAACAGCTCGGATCCATCGTCTTGATGAAGCTTTAATGCCCAGGACTGATGTCTGATGAACCTATCAGGGTAATTCACAGACTGAAACGTCATGTAGTTCTTAAAGTACTTATTTGGAATCAATCTCCATGTTGCGTCTTTTATGAAATATTGCGGGAGAGAGGGGTTGTTCTTGTCATCTACTTGGAGACGATAATTACTATGTCTGAGGTACCATCCAACATATGGGGCCTCCGTATATGTCAGTGACACCGTTCCAGGCTCTCCAGTTAGGCCAGGTGATTCCACCACCCATTGTGGCGTTGGGCTACCAATAATGAAAGCCTTAGGTGTGCCAAAATGCAAGCCAATACTAGCTGCGATGTTTTGGCTTATAAACGCAGCTGCAATTTGACAGACGGTAGTTCAAATTAGTATTGATTTTTGTTTTGATGAAATAAGCATGACGTTGCCTAACTTAATTCCCAAAGGTACAAACTTGATTTCTTAATTTGTTTGATATACTTTTGTAAAAGGAATCTGATTGTAAAACCATGATGTATCAAGGCGCTAACGTTGATAAGAATCAATTCACACAAGTTCCGCGAGTCATGTTTATCATTTGTCAACCGGTGTATCTCAAATTGATTTAATGAATAAAGCCCTGGACTAATTGCATCGATTACTGATTATCATTCAACAAAGGTGTTATTTCAAGGTTTGCACGAGATGCGTAGCATCGAGTGCTATTTTAAGGACATAGCGCCCGAGTGGAGTGGAATGAATTCGCCACAATGCATTGAGAACGAAATGATCAGATATAGTTTTCATCAGTTTCAATAATCTAAAATGACTTTGGATTATAGTATAATGCAATGCCAATGTTTGAAATACTTTTTTCTGGTTAGCTGGAATTGGACACACCTTGCTAAACTATGTGAGAACATTTTGTTTAAGCTTTTTAAAATATATTGACATTACCTTTGAGATAACCTTTACATGTCCCTCTGCTTCTGTCGAACGATGTGTCGACATCTGGAAATTGAGTTATTTATATATGGGAAGTTTCATTGTTTAATGTTTTTAATGTTAATCAACATATATTCAAACTACAATCCATGCCGAAGTCACATAGTGAAACATGGCCCATGAAGAAACGCAAGTAAATACACATATTTCAGATTATGATTAAGGTGTATCTCTCATCACTTTTTACATGAGCGATTTCTTAAAAGCTTTGATAATTACATAAAAAGGATTATATCTATTGTTTGATGTTTCACGAATCTTATGAATTAAATAATGTTTCGGTGTTACAGAAGATTTGAGTTACAGTTCAAATAACATCTATATACGATACAAGTGAAACCACCTACCTTTCCCGATTTTTTCAGATATATGTGATATTATATCATTTCGCATGCTTTCAACATTATTTTTCATTTCTTCAAAATAAGTTTGTGTATTATTGCAATTGCCCTTTATCTCGTTTACGCCATTTCGTACTTCTTCAATATTGACTTGAATTCTTTGGAGATTGTTTTCATTCTTGATGCAGCAAGATTGGGATTCTTCTTCAAGTTAATTCAACTTCCCCAGAAGTTTTACAACATCAGCTTTCTTGAGAGTTCGTTTCTTCTTTGCGTCATTTAATGAAACACAGGCAATGACTATCATCAGAATTGTAATATTCATTGTGTATCCCGATTAAATGTGTCTGACAATAGCAATGTGGTGCTTATTTAAAAGCACGTGGATCTTCTCCTTAATGAAAAAATATTTCTTAGACAGAAGAACACTTGGGCAATAACAACCCATTTGAAATATTTATAGAGCTTTATTAATGGACTACTCGCACACATTGAAATAATGGGTTGCGATTAATATTCTTCTCTAGGTGATTTACGACAGTTGTTGAATTTCAAGTCATTGTGTTTGTGTCTGACAATATCCACACGGTTATTAAATGGCGCGTGGATCTTCCACTTAATGTAAAAGTATTTCTTAGACAGAGGAACACTTGTGCAATAACAGCCCATTTGAAATATTTATCGAGCTTTATTAATGGACTACTCGCACACATTGAAATGATGGGTTGCGATTAATATTCTTCTTTAGGTGATTTACGACAGTTGTTGAATTTCAAGTCATTGTGTTTGTGTCTAACAATATCCATACGGTTATTAAATGGCGCATGGATCTTCCACTTAATGTAAAAGTATTTCTTAAACAGAGGAACACTTGTGCAATTACAGCCCATTTGAAATATTTATCGAGCTTTATTAATGGACTACTCGCACACATTGAAATAATGGGTTGCGATTAATATTTTCTAGGTGATTTGAGACAGTTTGTGGAATTTGAACTGTTATTTTTCATGAAATAAGCCAGCAAATAATAAGCAACACTTCGAATGATGACTTTGGAATGTCAATTACAGTCATGTTGTTTTAATTACGCTCTGCTCTAAAAACGTGTTGCAAAACAGACTAAAACTGTTTGCGAAATATTTCATGTAGTTTGAACTAATTACGATAAACTTTATGAACGTAACATGACACGAAAGTGCTCAAGAACATAAGTTTACAACGCATCTTGAAATTGTTTGTTAAGCAAGCTTAGACTATCTGCGAATGGATAAAACAATGTTAAAACCCCGTACGGAGTTTTACAACTTTATGAGCAGGGCGCGCTGTTTTGAGAACTAGTTAGGTGTTACTCGAATTTAGTTAATAAGAATAAAAAAAGTATTTACTATTATATTGAAATTTACCGTAACGTGTGTACCCGGTCCTGTACATGTACACACGTATCGAGGTCAACTTTCGAATATGATTTTTGTGTCAGTTGCTCATGGACCAATGGCTTGTAAAATTTCCGCCATCACAAAATCTCGGGAATAAAGGCTAGTTTTAATAAAAGCAACCACAATGGAGTAAAAATATCCGAAATATCCGTTTAAACATTCGTTATTTTGATTATGTACCTAGCTGTCCATACGAGGGAAATTACAAGGAAAATTTCTAATGTGAAATATACATTGTATGAATTTCAACAAATGTTAACATTTTTCTGAATGATATTCGACTGATCGAATGCAATATTATTACCCTCTTGCCAAACCATGTTATAAGGGTAAGTATTAGTTTAGAAGGCTTTTGCTTTAGTATATTGACCTGACGAATATATCATATAGACGTTATAGTGGCGGGTCGTATACCTCGGACAACATAGTGGAATATAGGACCTTTGGCCTTTGGCCCTTGGTCAAATATTTTACTTTCTATGTCACCGGGAATTCTGACAACTGTATCCAAAGTCGAAAATAATAGTGACTTATGCAGTGATACTAGTGCTTATTTCTGTTAACTTATGTGTTTATGATATATTTATGGATAAAATGAATGTTCAAAGATTAGAACAAATATTGTATTGTATTGTATTTGATTTGAAATACAGAGTGATCGTAGAGAATGTCTTACAGCGATATAATAAAACAAATATTTCATTTTACCTTCGGGCAATGAGTGTTGCACTTTCAATGATTTTTGAAGCGGTTTAATACAAGTCAAATTGCAAAAATCATTGGAAGATGAGGTATTGCTCTCCATAGAATGAAATGCTTGCTCAATATTGCCCTTTGAAATGGGGTTATTTGTATATAAATGAACACAGCGACGGTTGGACAGATGTGCTTAGTTCACCGATTCAGTTGTTTGCCTCAACCTAAGCTGCTCTTTAAGCGCTAATTTCTTTGGGTTCCACTTTGCATAGGCCCTCACCGGAGAGCCCGTCCCACCTCTGATCCTCAATGGCATCACGAACATTTTGGCGCCGTAGACAGGAATGCGATCAATATTGGCAATATTTTCCAAGCCCCAGACATTTTGAGCGGAAATAATATTATGTACTGTGTAATATAAATAGACACTTCCTGGATCTGTACTTGCTGTGTCCACACCGATTCCAATTATATTGCGCTCCTTGACAAGCCATTCAGCCAACTGTGGGCCGAATCCAGGGAAACGCAATGTCGTGACATCATGTATGTTATCAGTACCAAGAAACGCTGTCGCATTTGGCCACTTTTTACCATAACCAGAGTGCATAATAACAATTGCTCCGTTTGGAATCTCGCCATACTTCTCCTCCCAAATCATAGCATCGGTGATGTCAACGGTTGCATCTTGACCAGGTGGGGTGTTCTCGACCTTTTCCCGGATATCAAGGACAACGGCTGGCCCGATTAAACGATCCAAAGGAATTTCGTTCACTTTCCACGCAGATTTATTGTTATGATACGGGGCATCAATATGTGTCCCAGTGTGTTCTGTCATCTCTAGGCCATTTTGAGCAGCGCTAAAAAGTTAAAATTGTTGTCAAATATTTTATCGATGGTCTTAGTTACGTAAGTAATAAATCCATTTGGCTAATTTTGCAATATATAATATAAATAAGGACATTAAATGGCGGATAGATCAACCCTAATGTGTACAGGAGGGGGAGGGGGGGGGGGTCATCGGATTTCCCCCCGGTACTTCTTTGCCAAGAACAACTATTTTTTATAGCCCTAAGTACCTATAGCTACAGATAAAATATCATTTTTGGTTCAAAAATCGAGGTGATCGGGGGTAAGGCTGAGTTAGGATGATGGGAACTTGGGATTTTTCCAGAAATTGCTTGAAAATCACACCATCTCAATGATTTCTAAAATATCATATATTATATTGTGGTATATATCCAATTAATATGAGTAAATTTGTTTTTCAAAAACTAGTGATCAGATTTATGAACTTTGTTACATATGCATACCCATAAAGGGTTAACACAAAGTAAACAATAATTTTACAATATATCAATACAACAGAAAACAGTATATATAATAACACACACAATTAATACTTCATAAATAAATAAGTAAATCAATGAACAAATAAATATGTATCATTGATGAGCACATGGATGGTGATTGTGATACGCGTCCATTGTTCATGTTATACATGTATATCACACCCTTCTATGTTATATCAGAGGGGGAGAAACACCAGGGTTCAACGATGACATACGCTTATAATGTAAATCTGTATTGAGATGACATCTTCGCTGATTGGTCAAAAGTCGACAAATAAATGACGTCATCGATGGCAGTTTCAAAATTTTCGAAATACGCTTCGAATAATATTATGTTCCTTTCTGGCGTGTTAACCGATATCATAGCTTCTCATTTCACATCAAGATAAAGAAAGGTGTACGGAATATGCCTACATGTATATCAAGTAAAACATCCCATCGAAGTGTAATATTTGATAACCACTGTGTAACAATGTATCGGTTGAAACCAGAGATTTTTTCATTTTTGCCACATTTTGACATTATACTACATACCTATACAACTTCAGATGCTCAACTTAGTAAAATAAGACGACAGAGATGACATTCGCAGACATTTCCACACATGTTACAACAATTTTTGTGTAAATTGGATGAAAATTGTTCAAATAAGAGCAATTTTGGTGAAAAATTTTGTGACGGATTTTCTCGTTACTCTGGGTTTCAAGGTCATTTCTGAGGTAACGAGAAATCTCGTCACTCCAGGTAGTCAAGAGGTTAAATGAAGTCACAAAATTTGTCCTATAGTGAGGGCATCGGAGGAGAACTGTACATGTAAAATTGTATGAACGTATCTTGCCCATTTTTTAAGTTATCGCTTTTGAAATAGGGGTTGTTCAAAATAATTTGCGGCTAATAATCTCAAACGATAACGTTGACTCTATTTACATTTTTATTTTTACAAGTCAATACTAATACCCAAGAAAACATGTTTATTTTTTGTTTGATACAAACAAATGTGATAGATAGTATCTCATTTGAAATTAAACCAGACATATTGAACGATTAACGAAAATATGTTAATTTTGTATTACTTTTGAAATTGCTCAGGTTACGAAATACCAAATAGTTCCAATGATGCCGCTTACGAATTTATAAAATGCAATGTGTTTCCTCTACTATTCAAGAAAAAACCGTAGTCATATTAATATTTTAATTTTCGAATTTTGTATTTTTGAAATATCAATTATCGTAAATTGGCCAATACATCCAAAAATGGGTCAGAAAGATATAGCTAGTATACAGTATAATATTTTGTTTGTACTTACAATGTATTGTCCCGGAATGGCCCCTCTTGTACTACCGTCAACTTGTAGCGCAAACTCCCAGGCCACTGCGGAAGCCCGTTGAACAAATCATACGTCATGTCGACTATGGTAGATCGGCATTTACAATAAGAAATGCATACCACAGTGATTGCAAAAATCTTTGAACAAAAGTGTGCCATATTTTTGTTTAGTTGACAAATTGTGTAGTGTTGTTTTGATCCACCGGGTAAGTGCGTATTAGATGAATAGAGGTTGTATCGAAGCGATGTGTTATAATTGATGTATTTTTCAAGTGTGATAATGGCCCATTATATAAACATTATACTACTATATTATAATAATAATAATATACTGTATGATTTGCGTCAATATGTTTGATTTAAAGTTTTACTCAAACCATTGTACTTGATTAAGATATATTTATGCTATCTTAAAGTGTCTCACATATTCGATCAAAATTTGCCATGCAAACATGTTAGTCTACTTTACTGGCCCCCCTTACTGTAACAAGGAACACAAAACACATTAAAACGTAAACATAAACCAATTATAGTCACTTCACTATGAAAGTTAGGGGTGTTAGTGTATTAGCAGAATACTGTGTGCATGGAGTAACTCAATATCAGTGGTCATTTACTGTGTCAACTTAGTAACCCTTGCATATCGTGCTCACTCAAGTATTGAATATTTTTTAAGATCTAAATGATTGTGGTTTATCAAAAAAAGTGATATATTTTAGTTATACATACATTAATAAATATATTCATTCAAATAGCACTAGAATGCGGGAAAAAAGAGCAATGATGACAAAATGCAGACAGAATTTTCCGTAAGGGTTTCAAACATTTCTGGACACAATCATACATGTGCTTCATGTGTACTGTTATTTTTAGTGCTGTATTTATAGATATAATTTCACGTATTAAAATCATATTTTCCAGCAATGACTTCAAATTCGGAACCACACCCATATCACATTTTCTTCAATAACTTCAAACATGTGTAAACATTGGCCATGTGCATATAAATTCAGATTTCACGAGCTCTTTCCTATTCGAGTACCTCATACACCCCTGCATGGATTTGAGTTGGATTCGCCTATTATACGTGAGCCGATACACATCGCAAACGCTGATTGGATAAAGATTTGGAGAATCTTTAACCTAGTATGAAGGCCATGCTTTACGATGGTGAACCATCAACAATTCCAAAAGTTTATTTTTCATGATATCGGTGATGTAAAGTCAGCACGTGTCTTTTTTCACGGCAAAACTGATTTCAATTTCAGAGCAACAATTTTACGTCACGTGACATGACGTGTGTGACTGAAACAATTTGCCGCGAAATGCGATTTTGTAGATAAAAAAGAAACCCTGGCTTTCAAAAACAAGTTATTAGCTCTTATGTTGAGCCAATTATTCCACGATTGAGGTTATTCCCACCAATCTCGCTAAGGGTATAATATCACAGCAATACTCCTTTTAGCGATAGGAGTTCGGGTGGCAATTTACAATATCTCCCATGATGCATCGCTTTTAAACGGACAAATTTTCATTGGCCCGGCGAACAAGTCGATCACTGAAAGTTTTTCAGCTTCTGATCTTCCATCAGCCCTCAAGCATGTTATATGATCCAATCTATTCAATAATCAAAAAGGTAATTGGAGATTCAAAGTAACATTATTTATACTTTTTCGATATTCGATGGCGTCTGAGCCAATTTCTGGGAAATCGGTGACGTCACTGCAATTGGACGGCATTTTCAAATACAGATTTCTTCGGATTTGGGGAATATAGTTCAAAAAGCCTTTTGTTATATATCGTATGCCTGGGTCACATCATATGCTTCGATCCATCGGCCGGCGCCCGGCCGATCGAGTATTTTGTTCAATATTAAACTCAATCCTAAATCGGCCGGGCGCCGTAGTGAAAATCGGAGCATATGTAACCAGGGCATCAATTACATACTATACAAACCTATCGTTTATGCAAATGCAACTCTACATAAATGTTTAATAGAGTCGCAGCGCGGCATTGAAAATAGCACCCTGTGTAATCCAATGGGAAAGAATCCGGATGTACACGAAGTTGTACCATACATGAGAGCTCTTCAAACGGGAGATAACTAAACTGAACTAAACTAAAAGTTATCGCGTATTGGTTATTGAGTGCGGAATCAATCGAGCCGAAACGCTATTGAAAGCATGTAAGTTATATAACAGCAAATATTGCCAGTGTTTGGGAATTTAAACTTTTATACCAGAATGTAATGCTGTAAGGCCAAAATATAATTATTGGGTTAACATTTTCAGTTATCGGTATACGGTTTTACAAAAGCATTTCAATCAATTCCTTGTATATGTAACGGATAATATTGCAGTGCTCTTTCCTCAAGAATTTCTTTTTTCAATCATTTAAAAATATTTTTGTAGCTATTTGAATGCATGCAACTGTGAAAATTATACATATTTCTACTTTGGTCCAGCCTTCGTAGTACTTTGCAACAACAACTTTTCGATTTAGCGCCAGAATAACTTGGCACACGCAGGGGGGGGGGGGGGGAGATTTCCCAAAGATGCCCTACCATATTAGCACGTTCGAAAACAAATTTTATAAACAGGCCTCAAATTGCCATTGAAATGGATCTCCAAATGTTCACTGTAGTTTTATGAGTATGGATCGAGTAACTTCAATAGTATTACCGTAAGTTTGAAATGAAGTTGTTGAACTGATGTTAACGCCATTCCTAGGATTTCAAATTTAACTCTGCGCATGCGCAGCACTGAGAGAGCATGTGCTCATGATTGTTCACGTGATCGAATCCTGCAATTTGATTGGAGATGATGCAAGAGATGATGTAATGGGGAATCCCCGAATACGATAGAATATGAAAGAATTATGGGAGCTACTCACTCCTCCTGTGGCACACGGTAAATCATGGTCAGGTGACCTCAAAACGTGTGCAATATAACAACATTTCAGAGGTTGATAGTCTTATCTTTATAAATCATGTTGTGTGGGGAAATATCACAAGCTTTGTAGTCAAAATAACAAAAGAGATGCTAGCTATTTGTGCTAAAAACAAGACAATAAGAGATTCTTCGATTGGATTCAGTACAACTTTATATATCAGTGTAACAAACAATTATAAAAAGGATGACATTTCCGTAGCCACTTTTTGGTAGGGGGAGGTATCTTTAGCCCCCCCCCCCCCTCCTCCCTTTCAGCCCACTAATAAAAATGTGTCCATACTAAACAAACTCGCATCGTTATGTTAAGGGTATGTTGAACAATTACCTTGGGTTTTAAAACTAGAAAATCGAAATACCTTCAGTAACTTTTAAATTACTTTTTCTATCGAGAATTGTGTACGTTTCAACTCTAAAAATTCGTGTTTTGATTTATCATATAGACATATCAAATAAGACTTGATGTCACCCCCGGATTGATTGAGGCTCTGATAATGCTGCTAAAGCCTTTGGAAGTACATTTGTTTTTTTCATTACTTTTGGATATGATTAGACAGTTACCTCTCTTATCTCATTCCGAGCTTTGCAGGGAGATAAGGTTGATTCATCTAGTTGATTGGGCCAGTGATTCATTATGAGCGTCTATATAATCCATGGACATATTTTCAATATTACTATTTATCCTATGCCAAGTTTTAGGGAGATAAGTTGGTAAGATATATCCCGTATCCTGATTTTGAGGTGTGAAAAAAAATAAAAAAATAAAAATTTGAAAAACAGAAAAATTGAAAAAATTGATAAAAATTAGAAAAATGTGAAAAAATGAAAAAATAAAAAAAAATTGAAAAAAATCGAAAGAAAATTAGAAAACTCTACTTGGTATAGGATAAAGCAATTATGAATGGAATTATTGGAGTGAATATAACATAAATCAGATCTAAACATGAATTCTATATTTGTCTACTTCCTTCATCAGGCCTACACAATTTCCATCTCTACGGGATAATGGTCACTGACCGCCATTGCCTGCAAACATATATTGATAATATATTGATTGTCGGTCCAAAAGCAGGTCTGACCTAAACACAGCCACGTCTGACTATATAAGCTTATGTTGCAAACTCTCGTTTTCGTCATATCATGTCAATCAAAGAATCTGTAATAAGTTCTATTTTTGACCTGACGGAAAACATGGTTTTGCCAAAACATTTTAAAAAAAGACGCTCCTTCGTCTATGTATTTTTGAACTTATTCCCTTGTCAATTATACACTTGTTTTTAATCTTATGGAATATTTAAATGACACAACTCCGATACATTTAATATCATAATGGCAAAAATAAAATGTTTAAAATATTACCTCGCTATTGCTCAGGCCTAAGGCATCGTCAAACCTATAAACATTCGCAGATCTAACGGCTCCAAGTAATCTACTCCCAGATACCACTAATCTACAATACATTTTGAATTCTCAATTTTAGCATAATGACCATAATACACAATTAAAAAGCATAAGGAAACCCAGTATCAAATTAAATATAAAAAGCTACAATCGGTACAATCGCTGTGCTATGTTATGTTCTTGGGGCCTTTCGTACATAGGAAGTTCCCCAAAGGTAACTTTCTTTTTAAATATATTTCCCAGAGGTCATCAGTTCTCGAGGTTTAACATTTAGGGTGTTCTCTTTTTAGGTATTTCGTCTCAAACATATAAAAGGAGAACCCGGGGGCCCCGATCGGATATGTGTGTTACACAAGTTTTCAAATCCCAAGCTATATTCAGTTTGTGTTTCTTTTCATATTGCCAATGTTTTCCCTCAGTGGTTATAAATGTAACAAGATGCTGTACTGCTTCTCTCTTCGTCCATCCGTCTAAAATTCATATTGTGCAATTTTTGCTAGCTAGATGATTTTTTGAATGCTGATATCCATGTTCTAACCTGTCATAGGCACATTGACTTCCCTGGGCAACATTTGTGTCGGCATCATCGCCAATAAGCCATGTGAATCGCGATTGAGTACGTAAACGAATGAATTCCCAATCTCCAGGTCGGACATAGCTACAGCCAGCGTTAAAGTCTCCTCCAAGAAGGACATTCTTTAACATGGAATAAAAATTGGAATCTCAAAGAAGCGGAACGATGAATCGAAAATACCCACATTAATTATACATAAATATTTTTATACTCAGCAACACTGTTTAAGATTTCTTGTTCGACCAATAAGAATGGCTAAAAAACTGTATGCTATGGTTAAGTGAAAATTTGTCAAAAATATCATATTTTACCACTGATTACAAAAATACCGTTTTTATTTTCACATTTTATCCTACGAATATCATGCTAACTATGGAATATAAGATATACCGAGTCTCCTGTGACGCCAACAACGTGGTCATATACATCAGCCAGGCCATCGATCTCGGCTACTGCATCACCAGGCTTTACATGAATACCTCCGAAAGAAAATGTTCCAGCAGCTGAAATGAAGAGTAATAATCAACAGTTCATTAATGTATATTTAAATGTGGGTGGATTTCGATTGTTTTCACAAGATATTCAAATAAATGTGGACTTTTGATTGAGTATGATTAGTTACTGGACAGCCCTACCACACCATTTTGCATTAACCTGTTCTCACCCGATATGCTCCCATCACGTTTTGAAAAATGCTTTTACAAAATTGTGAAAATTGCTAACTGGGAGAAAATGACGATGTCGTTTTAATTAAGAAATATAGACCAAAGAGCAGGGTTTCTAGTTTCGAATAACACCCCGCTGGTCTCGGCACAAACGTTTTCTGTACCCCGAACGACCGAAGGGAGTGAGGGGTTCGAAAGCTTTTGTGCCGAGACCAGCGGGGTGTTATTCGAAACTAGTAACCCTGCTCTGAGGTCTATATTACGATTCGAACATGAAAACTCACCAAATTGTTTCGAATATTCATCATGGTCCGGCATTACTACGACCCACCGTTATGACGTCACACATTACACGTATTAACTGGGTTATTGATCTCGAATATAACCCAGCTGAAGCATTGACTTTGTTTACAGTTTATAGAAGGCGTGAATACAGTCATGTTCGAATATAAATTCATTCACACTATACAAGTCTCTCATATGAATGTATACATTATGAACAATGTAAATGTGTCATTGATCAAATAAATTGGGACGTAAAGATACGATAAAGAATAAAACTGACAATATCCGTTTCCTTCCCTTGGATGAAACTCTACGTAGGCCTCGCGATAGAATTAATATATTCACTTGCGTTAGTACTTATTTTTCATACGGATTTGCCCGAGCGCCCTATTGCAATCTATTTAAGGGGACAACACTTCATGTACGGAATCTTTAATTAAATATTGCAGCTATAACTGGAAATGAGCATTAAAAATTCTAAAGGGTCAAAACCGACCCTCTTATAAAACATTTCCCACGTTTTCTCAATGACGGAAAGTCATATATTCGATTAAAGCTGCCATAACGGGAGAGAAATGGACTGTCAAGAAATGTCCCTGTACTGTATAACTTACATGTTGACGTTCGAAGACGAACAGTGTACGGTGGACGTTCAAACTCATCTCTCGATTCCGGGTATTGGTCGTCCCCATCGATGGACACCAGACTCACTCTATAACAATCAACAATCGATATTTTCCAACAATGAAACCGTCGAAATTTCGTTATTTTCTGAAATTATTACCGACTATGAATTCAGAATAAACAGCTTAAAAGATTCATACCAATATCTCGATCATTTCTTGTGAGTTTTGGAATTTTTCGTGAAGGAATAAGACCAAAATTCACGATTTAAATGTTGAAGTAAACAAAATGGCGGCTTTTTGAATTTAAATTTTGAATCACGACATTTCCATATATGGGAAAAAATATCGATGTTGCACTCTGGCAGCCAATGCTCCTTGGCCTTAACCTATACTGTTGGATTGCAGAGAGACATCTATAATACTATACTCACCTGTAAAAATAGGCGTATTGTTCTTTAGAGGTCGATCTTCCAAGACGATCGCTTAGTTCCATTGCCCACTCGTCTCCCGTGGGATCATTCCTATAAGAGATTAATAGCCTAGATGCACCTAGGTAAAAGTGATATAGAAATGTTCAAAATTGTTTTTAAACTTTGAAACTTTCATTTTCTTCTTCCGGTGTGGTCGATTCTCCTTAGAGCCCACCATGATATCATGTAGTGTAATTTCACTACCACCGGGTAGTGAAACTAGTGTAGTTAAACTAGTGTAACTAGTGCCACCGGTAACTTGGTAACAAATGGTTTTCTAAATGGCGTTGCAATCCCGTTAAAGTCTCGTTTTCAATGAGTGCCTTCAATACGACGAGTAAACAATTCTTTATCATAGATGAATCTAGTACCAGTTGCCATGGAGCATTTTTAAAATTTCAACAGCCAAAAAACGTTCATTATTTTAAGCCTTAGAACAATAAAGAATACAATAATACTAAATTTACCTATTTACTTCATCTAAGAGTTGGAAAATTGCTGTAAATGAGGCATCCCTGATTTCCTGAATGAGCAACACGTCGTACCTCAGGATTACCTAAAATACATATCACAAAAAGCACAGGTTTTTCTCTATTTTTAAATAATGCCAATCTGTGTTTTGAGTACCAACATTGAAGTCGTGTGTTCGAATATCGCTTTAGAGAACTACTGTCTGTAAGACATCAGCCTTTGAGTCAAAGTTTTCAAAGTTTGGAAAGTAAAAAACGAATTTGTAATTGACAATTCAATCCTGCTCTAACCGCAACTAGTGATACGACAACTTCAGGTCTGCTCATTTTGGTTACTCCAAAGGTCTGTATATTCCATGCTCCAATAAGGAGATCGTCGGATTGACGCTTTTCTCGAATTATTTTTGACGATTCTGTTGATATAAAGAGAATCAACAACACGAGTAGCGACACATTTCCGACAACCTTTCCCATAATTGTTTATACGTATGTGTTTGTAGGCCTATACAAGTGAAAGACAACTGTCAACAATGAGCCTCAATTCAGACTTTAATCACCTTCTGGCACAATATGCACTGCTGCGCATGCGCTTAATAAAAATGACAAAAATACACGTTTCTTACTTGGACAAGAGCTCTGACCACCTCAGGCCTTCCCATCTTCGTAACACCAAACGTCTGTATATTCCATGCTCCGATACGGAGACCACATGCGGTATAAATGGCTATAGCGCCAAGAAGGAAGAACGCCAAAAAGTTCATTGTTTTCCAAATGTGTGTGTGTATAAACAATCAAAATATAATAAAAAGTCACAGGATTTTATTAAATCGTGGGAATCGACGCGATGGTTTGCAAGATAATGGAGCTTTTTATAGAAATTGCATTCAACACAGTTCAAGGTCTACTGAGTAAATGACCAAAATCAAATGCTACATGTCCATATTGAACAAGTAGGTTACATGACCTCGTGTACGCTAACTGTACGCATATCATGCGGCCTTCAGCTGTGAATGCCAATTTAAATTACGATTTAGATAAGAACATTTTAATTGCAACTCATGAAATAACATTTCCATGTTTTGAGTATCAAATGCAACTATAAAAAACGTCTATAAAGACAGTGCCACAATATATAATGCTATCGCCTGTTCAAAGAGGTCCATCATCATCCTCACCCCCATCCTCATCCTCTCATCCTCATCATCATCATTCTCATCATCACTATCAGCAGCAGCAGCATTGGCATGGTTGAACTTATCATTTATCTCATTTCAGGATCCACTACCGAGTCTAAAATAGAATGCATTTAAAAAACGATAATAATTAGTCAGATTCACAGTGTACGCTGTCCTTGCACCTGTGAGCTGGTTTTCATAGCGATTTCGGGATCTGATATAGCACAGTTCAGTCACATGAATTATTTTACTTATATGGGCAATGAACACCAGTTAAACTAATTGATCTTTTTCAGAAGTTGAGCGGACTAATGGCCAATTAATCACATACCCTACACTACTGTCGGAAATTCTAATTCCTTGGAATGTATGTTCATGGTTAGATTTGTTTCCTAGATATGGAAATTGTGATTGCCAAAGTTTTTGGGGAGCGGTATATATCAATTAAACACAAAACTAAAACCAGATACTGTTCTATTAGTTTATTTTTACTTATTTAGTACATTTAGTCCAATCCGTCCATACAAAGTTTAAACCGATATCCGAGAACGCAGTGAGAACTAGTTTGGTGTGATAGTAAGGTAATCGGAACAAAAGAGGTATATTTTGTTCGTTGACAATTATTATACAATAAAGGTATACAATAAATGTATATAATTAAGGTTTAGGTTTATGAACAACAATGCGATTAATTTGTCAAAGTCGTTTTAGGGTTTAGGCCGAGAGGGTTAAATTGATTTCCCTCTCTTTTTGCAAGTCTATGTTCCCCTGTTATTTTTTTAGCAAAAGTCACGAATTAATGCCACTTTTCGGCATAAAATCAAGGCGATTTGGGATAGAAGAGCAAAGTTGTGATAGTCGGAAGTTGATGGCAATAAAAAAATATTGATAGTTACCGTGTTTCTAATAGAGTGGAAAAATTAAAATTACCAGTATTGGTCTGCTTGATAAATAATTATTTAGCACATTTAGTTTCCCTTCACAGATCCGTTCTCTTTACGTATTTGAGAGAAAAATGAATACTTTTGAAATAACTTCATACACGTCTTTTTCCGCGGTAGATGGTTTGTCATAAAGGGTGACACAAAAAAACACCCAATAATTTCGGAATAACTCTCCCAATGATTAATTAATCTTCATGATTCTTCATGTGTAGATTGAGTGTTCAATGGAAAAAATGGTATGCTTGTATAGCATCAGCAATTTCGAAATTAAGATTTTTAAGAATTAAGAATTAAGAATTTTTTCGTGGAGGCATGCTCTGACACAAAACCAATCAAAACTATGAATTAGAAAGTCTGCCTTTCTTAAAATTTACCCAATTAGCGAGTCAGTTCAAGTTGACAAAATTATTTGAGAAAAACGCTAAAATAATGCAGAAATGACTCAAATAATCACTCAAATCCTGATTAAAGATTCTCGCAATCTTTATCCAATCAGCGTTTGCGATGTGTACCGGCTCACGTATAAAAGGCGAATCCAACTCAAATCCATGCAGGGGTGTATGAGGTACTCGAATAGGAAAGAGCTCGTGGAATCTGAATTAATATGCACATTGTCAATGTTTACACATGTTTGGAGTTATTGAAGAAAATGTGATATGGGGGTGGTTCCGAATTTGAAGTTGTCATGTATGTTAATAATTAATGATTCATTTAAAGATGTCGCCATCTGTCAGTAATAGTTTCCCCAGACCGCTTTAGCGAAATCATTCTATTATATTATATCGACTATGTTATGTTCTCAGTAAGAAAATAAAAGCACGTGAAATATTTGCAAAACACTAATCTGTATTTGCTTGATTGTCGAATATATGTAACACTGGCGACGAGGATAAAGTTACCTCCATGTCAATATTGATATTCACTATATTTTGGACTGTATAACACCCAGTAAGTACCATGGCTGACGGTGAAGAACAGACAGATCCAGTTCGTGACTTTAATTTGAACTTGAAGTTCCAACATTTTGATGACTCTGTTGAGAGTGTGGATATATACTTCGAAAGACTAGATCAATATTTCGAGGCAGCAAATTTAAAACCAACAGACGATAAAATTGTGCCATTAACATTGACATTGATTGGTGCAAAAATGTATAAAACCCTAAGGGATTTATCAACACCAAAGCGTCCACATGAACTGTCATATGAACAGATAAAAGACACACTGATTAAACATTACTCTCCGAAACCACTTATTATAGCGGAACGTTTCAAATTCTATAAAAGAGATCAGGATTCGACAGAGTCCATTGCGGAATATACTGGAATCATCAAAGCCATGGCGGACAAATGTGACTTTGGGAATTTTCTCCCACAAGCCTTACGTGATAAACTGGTTTGTGGTATCGCAGATGAAAATATTCAGAAGCGACTGTTAAATGATGACATGTCATTCCAACAGGTGTATGAAAAGGCTGTAACTATGGAGTTAACATCTTCAAATATTAAGGAGATGCAGTCAGCTTCTGCAGTGATGAACAGATTAAAGGATGTTGGAAAGAAGGACTATAAATATGATAAATCCTGTTACAGATGTTTGGGCAAAGGTCACAATAGTGATGAGTGTTACTTCAAAAATGAGAAATGCCACAGATGTTCACGCGTTGGTCATATTAAAAAGGCATGTAACAACAGAACATTGAAAGATTCAAAGTTTAACCACAAGAAAAAGTCAAAAAGTAGATATCGTAAACACAATGTTAAGTCTGTTGATGCCGACGATCACGACAGATCTACTTCAGACAGTGATTCAGACAGTGAACTGTACTACATAAAGGTGAACACTATTTCTAGTAAGAGATTAACCCCCATAAAAGAATCATTGTCAGTGAATGGACAACATGTTGAGTTTGAAGTTGACACGGGGTCAGCGTTTTCTATTATGTCAAAGAAAATGGCTGATGACAGATTAAGTGACATTGATGTGACACCATGTAGTTTAAAACTGTATACGTACACTGGAGAACAGATAAAAGATGTTAGCGAAACTACAGTCAAAGTTGATACAGGTAGTGGCTTGAAGGATTTACGCTTATTATTAGTGCCAAATGATGGACCACCACTACTAGGCCGTGATTGGCTTCAACATGTAAAGTTAGATTGGACTCAGATTAAAAATGTACATGGATCAGGTAATCAGCCAAAAGAGCTGAGATCTGTACTGAAGAAACATGATAAACTGTTCAATGAAACTATTGGATGTATGAAAGGATTCAAAGCAACATTCAAGCCCAAGGATGGTAGTACTCCTCAGTTTCGTAAACCTTACCCTGTACCGTACGCTTTGCGGGGTAAAATGGAAGAGGGCTTGAAGAAAATGGAGACTATGGGAATTATTTCTCCAGTGGCTCAGAGCGAATGGGCTACACCATGTTTTCCCATATTAAAAGGCAATGGCTCAGTTTGCATATGTGGTGACTATAAATCTACATTGAATCCGGTGCTTGAAGATAATTCTTATACCATGCCTGTCATTGAGGACATATATGCAAACTTAGGGCATGGCGAAAAATTCACCACACTGGATTTAGGTAATGCGTTTACACAGATCGAATTATCGGAGGATACTAAGATGTATACTACAGTCAACACGTGTAATGGATTATACGTCTACAATCGTCTCAATTATGGTACCAAAGTGGCCCCAGCGATTTTTCAAAGGGCAATGGATTCTATTTTACGTCCTTTACCCGGAGTATCCTGTTATTTGGATGATATAATTATAACAGGCAGAGATGATAAAGAACATTTGGAGAATCTCAACAAAGTGCTACAAGTATTGGAGGATCATGATCTGAGATTGAATAAATCAAAGTGTAATTTCATGCAGAAATCAGTCTCATATTTAGGTCATGTGATTGATAAAGATGGCCTACATAAATCTGAGGAAAAAGTGAAAGCTATTGTGAATATGCCAAGACCACAGGATAAAGCTGGTCTTCGCTCATTTCTTGGAAAAGTTCAATATTACAACAAGTTTATTCCAAGATTGTCTACAATTATCGGTCCACTCAATGGATTACTACACAAGGATGCCGAGTGGAATTGGAATTCTCAGTGTGAGGAAGCATATCTCAAGTGTAAAGAAATATTAGCTTCAGATCTTGTGCTGACACACTTTGATCCAAATCTCCCCATAAAGTTGGATACAGATGCATCAATGAAGGCTGTCGGAGCCGTAATTTCACATATCATGCCCGACAAATCTGAACGTCCCATTGCATATGCCTCTAAATCACTCAACAGTACTCAGTGCAACTACAGCATGATTGATAAAGAAGCTTATGCCATTATATGGGCACTCAAAAAATTTAACATGTATTTATATGGCCGCGAATTCGCCATAGTTACTGATCATAAACCCCTTCTCAGTATATTCGATCCATCGAAGGCTACATCAGTAATGGCCTCCGCACGATTGCAACGATGGTCATTGCAACTACAAGGATATAATTACAGGATTGAATATCGTAACACTCGTGAGCATACAAATGCTGATACACTGAGTAGATTGCCGTTACCAGATAAGGACTCTGATAAACCCGATACTCAGACATTATTCTACATATCTCAGATTGACGCTTTACCAGTAGATGCTACGCAAATTGCCAAAGAGACACAGAAAGATCCAGTATTGTCTCGTGTTTATAACTGTTTACTCACTGATGTATGGAACGATATTACCAAGGACAATCCAGAGTTGTATTCATATTATACAAAACGCCATGAAATGACACTACAAAGTGATTGCATTATGTGGGGTATTAAAGTGATTGTTCCCGCAAAACTTCGACATTTGATATTAAGTGAACTACATACCGGACACTTAGGCATAGTCCGCATGAAAGCCCTAGCTCGTAGTCATGTCCACTGGTATCACATTGATAATGACATTGACAATTTAGCCAAATCTTGTCATGGATGTAGCGAAAATGCACGTCAACCAAGACTTGCACCACTTCACCCTTGGGAGTGGCCTGAAGATCCATGGAAGCGTATTCATGTGGATTACGCGGGACCCATATTTGGAAGCATGCACTTAATTGTTGTCGACGCTTATAGTAAATGGCCAGAGGTTGTGGGAACTAAATCTACAACCTCTAGTGCTACTATTGAACTGTTAAGACCACTTTTTGCACGATACGGATGTCCCGAACAATTAGTCTCAGATAACGGACCACAGTTTGTCAGCGATGAATTCGAACACTTTATGAAGGCTAATGGTATTCGTCACATTACCAGTAATCCAATGCACCCAGCCACAAATGGCCAAGCAGAAAGACTTGTGCAGTCTTTTAAACATTCGTTGAAATGTATGAAATATGAGTCTGGAAACACCCAACAGAAGTTATGTAAATTTCTCTTAAGCTACAGAAATACACCACATGCTCTAACAGGGCAGACACCAGCATCGTTATTTCTCAAACGTAATTTGAGAACACGTCTCACATTGGTAAAACCAAATCTCAAAAATCGTGTCATTCAACGTCAAACAACTGAATCACAGCTACGTCTTGGTCCATACAGAGAGTACCAAATTGGACAAAATGTCTTAGCCAGAGACTATAGAAATCGTGGTAAGAAATGGGCTGAGGGAAAAATTATTGCAAGAGCAGGCCCTCTGAGCTACATGATTGAAATAGATAACGGACAAGTATGGCGCAGACATATTGATCAAATTCAGTCTGGTGGCTGCGGACCACTAAATATGCCCGAGAACCTAATACCCGATGTACAAGTTGCAAACCCTCTAATTGCACCTACTGTACTATTACCTCCAGTGATTCCACCTACTCAGGAAATTACAACTCCAGTTTTGAGACCAGATCCAATGCCAGCTACACCTTCCAAGGTTAAAGATATTCCTCAGCAGCAGAATAAATCACATTCTCAATCTAAGCCAGATATGTCCCTTGATAGCTCTACTGTGGATAAATCATTGCAAAATTCATCCCCAAGTCCTATCGGGAAGTATAATCTCAGACGTGATAGAAAACCACCAGTTAGATATGGTTGGAAGAACATTTAACATTGATCACATTATAACTGACTACTTTATATAAGTACTGTATCTTATAGATAATATTACTTTGTAGAAGGAACTGAAAATCTTTCATTAGATTGTAATTACTGCAAAGATCAGTTTGAGGACTTCATTGATTACTGTTATTGAACTAGTTATGAATAACATTGAACAAAGTTAAAGTTAAACTTTTCTCTTTGTCATGATGGACATTTATTTTGTCATCCTGAAAAACAGGGGCACTGTCATGTATGTTAATAATTAATGATTCATTTAAAGATGTCGCCATCTGTCAGTAATAGTTTCCCCAGACCGCTTTAGCGAAATCATTCTATTATATTATATCGACTATGTTATGTTCTCAGTAAGAAAATAAAAGCACGTGAAATATTTGCAAAACACTAATCTGTATTTGCTTGATTGTCGAATATATGTAACAGAAGTCATTGCTGGAAAATATGATTTTAATACGTGAAATTATATCTATAAATACAGCACTAAAAATAACAGTACACATGAGGTACATGTATGATTGCGTCCAGAAATGTTTGAAACCCTTACGGAAAATTCGGTCTGCATTTTGTCACCATTGCTCTTTCTTCCCGCATTCTAGTGCTGTTTGAATGAATATATTTATTAACGTATTTCCAACTAAAATATATCACATTTTTTCATAAACCACAAACATTTAGATCATAAAAAAATTATTCAATACTTGAGTGAGCACGATATGCAAGGGTTACTAAGTTGACACAGTAAATGACCACTGACATTGTGTTAGTCCATGCACACAGCGTATTCTGCCAATACACATTTGCCTTGAACACCCCTAACTTTCATAGTGAAGTGATCGTCTGACTAATTGGTTTATGTTTACGTTTTAATGTGTTTTGTGTTCCTTGTTACAGCAAGGGGGGCCAGTAAAGTAGACTAACATGTTTGCATTGCAAATTTTGATCGAATATGTGAGACACTTTAAGTAAATTGTATCTATGAACATTTTTTTGTTGATTTCACCGAGAGCATGCCTTGACTAGAAGTCGTTGATGCTATCCAAGTGCAACACTCATTTTTCCATGGAACACTCTATCTACAAAACAGAATCATGTAGAATCATAAAATATCAAGAAAGTTATTCCAAAATTAGTGGGTGGTAATTAGTGCTCCGCCCTGTGCATACTAACTTCGTTATTCTCAAGGACTGGCATTTCTAAGGGACAATCAACTCATGGAGTCCGATGCTAAATATATCCATTTGACATTGAACTTAATACATTACCATTGTTGGAAGATTATCCTTTTACGAACGAATAAATTGTACAGTCAATATCCGTTTTCTAAATATTGAGATCGCGCTAGGACAACAGGACCAACTTTAAAAACAGATGAATGGGCAGATTAAAGTGTATTATACTGTAAGTTAATCTCCTGGTCGAATCACGTTTAAAATCGGTTATTTATTGTCCCGGGTCTTATTGACGTGTTTTGATTTTGATTACCCAAAGTGAGGATTTTATAAGTATTGTGATATTTGGTGGCTCCAGTCGCAAATGTATATTTCTTTATTAAGACCATGTGGTTGAAATGATGGGCACACATTTAGCGATAAAATGCCTATATTAACGTGTATAAAAGGACAACATGTGACAATCTAAACTATGGATACAGTAATATGGATTAGTAGACAGTGAAAGGTATAAGAGCCGACCCAGCGATCACAACGATGTCGAATTCATCAGAGACCGAGTTCGACTTCATTGATGCCTACGCCCGGCCGTTTTTCGAATGGCTTCATATAAACGTTCTTCCCATTCTTACAGCTGTATTGCATATTATCGCCATCTTCCTAAGTTTTGGCCTCAATGGGGCATTTCTTCACATGTGCCGAAGAACTAAACGTCTAGCTGACCCGAACACGAGGCTCATTATCAACCTTATTACCGTTGACTTCATAGCTGTTGTTATAGTGAACATACCTGCAACAGTGTCAGCCCTGTCGTTAAGATGGTTCTTCGGGGATATTGTTTGTTACATTCACGGGGTTATCGTATGTATGGTATTTTTGAATAACTTTCACGGACTATGCTTGATCTGCATAGAACGAACATGGAAACTATGCAACCCCAATTTTTATGACAAGACATTTGGTAATCCTAACGTAGTTACTGCTAGTATACTGATACAATGGTTCCTAAACGGAATAGTAGCCATCATCCCATTTTGGGGAATAAATGGCTTGGCGCCCATTTCGTATCAACAATACCAATATCAATGCAACTTGAACTTTACCAGCAGCTTGGGCCATATGCTGGCCTATATTGGATGGGGATTTCTATATCCATTTATGTTTTGCACTGTTTGTTTTGTCTGTATTCTCCACAAAAGAAGAAAATTATTACGAGAGGCAGAGCCGAATGTTGAGCAGAAATCGGAGAGTAAGGTGGAACTCATTGAAAAATCCAAAAGCCCTCGTGTCTTGAGCGCTGTCAAGGAAAGGCCAGAGACTGCACCGAATTCTGGTTCGCGTCCACGTACGCAAGAAACAGCTGTTACAATGCATGATATTGAAGTTACGAACGGAGATGAAAAAGATGTGATTAATCAAAGGGCCGAGATCGTCCAAGAAACAAATCTGACGAAACAAGATTCTGGACCTCCAAACGTCAAGGACAATCGTAGGAGATCCGTCAAGGTATATATGAGTAATCTGTATAATAAATGAATGAATACATGTCACAATCAATGTAAAAACAAAAACTATACATTTGGGTTCTAGACAAGTTCCTTTCGATATCTAATAGTCAATATTTGAATAACAGAATTTATAGAAACTATTACCTTGTGACGAGTCTTTTGATACACAACTTGGTAACGTCATAAACGTGTCCAATTTATTGATTTTAGAGGCGTAGGACTTCATCTCTTCGGAGTTATGACCCGCTGAGTGATTCTCTGATTGCAAGAGAATTGGGGCAGATGCTGACATTTGGAGAAATGAGCGATCAGCAACAAGAATTTCATCTTGCAATGACAGCAGTGCTGCTTTGGATATTTACGTACCTCACGTGGATACCATTCATAGCAGTCGTATTTTATAAGGTCAGTAATAGTCAGTCTGTAGTTAATGTCGACCTGGGGGAATAAGTTCATTAGCTCATTTAGAATGGTTAATTATTTGATATATTTTATCTGCGTTGGGGAGAACAAAGGACGCGCCGGTATGGTGAGGTATTATTGATTTTAGAAAGTCGATCTTTAACCAAAGTAATTTCCTCATCTGGAATATGATATTTCTCAATAGAATAATATGTTTTTCTCCAAATAGAATCACAAGGAGCATAGACTTATGTATCTCATATTTGAGTGGGTTTGGGGAAGATATCACCCGGGAATATATATCATATCTGAGGAGAGGGCAGGGCATATTGTATATGTCCCGCTTCTATATGTTGAAGTAAATCCATTGTTTAGTACCCCATCGTACACATTTTAAATGTGTAAGATGGGGTACTAAACAATGGATTTTGAGTGCTGGATTGGATTAATATTTTCATCATCCTGATTACAACTTCAAAGAAATATATCTTATATTTAATGAAAATACTGAACAAATATTTCACTCTATTGAGGTGAATACCTGTACATCTTTCACAAGTGATATTCCACGAAGCCCGAAGGGCAAGTGGAATATCACCCTGTGAAAGTGCTACAGGTATTCACCGAAAATATAGTGAAATATTTGTTTTATTATATCACTGTCTGGCTAAATATCCCTAATATTATTAAGTCATTAAGTCTTCATATATTTTTACAAATCTACTCGGTTCGTCTGGCATTTTGACTTACACTGAACTAAATTATTTACATTGAACGAAAACAAATTCTTTGAAAATTCCCGGGAGCGTGGGGTATCGCTAGATATCTCACGGTTGTCTTATCTGATTAGCATTGCCATTGAATATCGCCAGATATCCCACGACATGTGACCCGGTTTTGACCAATCATACTGTCGCTAGCTAGATAGTGATATAATAATGTTATTTATAATGTGAATATAGTCTTACTCAAATATATGTCGTCAACTATTTGCAAACCTTACCACATCTGGTCTTTTTATTTCAAATGTGTAAATGTGTCTAGTCCTCTTACAATGAGCCTAAAATATCACAAAACCCTATAATTTATTCAATATTTTCAACAATACACTTTCTCATGAAGGGGAGGCATTTTCTATTTATCCATAATTATCCGTTGTACATAACGGAAGCTATTCTATTTTCAATCAGACCTTCTACACGATCGAAGAGACTTGGGCCGGTTGGTGGACCTCTGGTATAATCGTAGTTGACCTGTGTTGGATCATTAGGCCCATTGTCATCCTGAGCCACAACAAACAGATCAAAGAGGAAGTGAAGGAGGTTTTGCCAGATATATGGAAGGAGAAAGCTGAAAGGGTAACGCATTACTGGTTGATTTGGTTGCTCCTATAACATAATATGAATAGTTCATCTTTGGATGCATGAACATCGGCGATCTGTGTAATACCATCAACTGCTGTGACCTTTAGCCAACAAAGATGGCAGTGAAGTATTTTCATATTTATATATGAAGTTAATGTGAATATGTAGGCATAACCGCATGAACGGCAGTGTTTTCCCCGGGGTATATTTTCACGACAATTATTGTTTCCGAATTTGACAAGCAAAAACGATATAGTAATTTTCATGGATTCTACAACTATAATGTATAACGGTCATTAAATTAGTAATTTATATTTCAGGTGAAATCAAGGTTCGATCAAAGTATGAACACGCTGGACAGATCTCTCCACATCACTCCCAAAATGAAAAGAAACTCAATCAAAACGGATAAGCCTGTTAAGATGGCGAATATACAGAAACAGAAAAGCCAGAAAAGTATAACTGATGAGTCTAATCCTATTGCAAAACAAGAATCTAAGATGAGTTTAGTAACTGAAAAGATCATAGTAACTCCACTGCCTAATGAGATTAATGATAATTCTGAACCGAATATTCCTGGAGGGACGGATAGTTCACCATCAAAGGAAGATATTTCAAACAAGACAAATACGGAATTAAAATAACAAAACTAAACAAGTGGTATTAGAATATATATTTTTTGTCTGGATGTCAACTTGTACATAAAACAAGAAGCATAAGCGTAATTATATGATTTTGGATAATGTTTATTACTTGTATATCAGTACTTTATATACAGTACTCTTTGATAGTTGATACTGTTACCAATTAGCAAATTATTGTTAAATATCCCAGATGCGAGTAGAAATAATCTTGATTTACGTCATTAAAAATCCACAATTCAGTAAAACTGATGTCATATTTGGAATCTACATGTACAATTACACTCAGAAATGTGGTTTTGAAAAGAGTTTATCAACTTTGAAAATTTAATTTTCTTTGAAAATTTAATTTTCTTTGAAAATATGACTTCTAGGTCGGGGAGATTCCCCATAGACCCCATGTTATAAAACCACAGAAAGTGAAATATACTTTCTTGTGTTGGGCAGATGGTATTTCCTTCTACTTGACATATTTTAATTTGTATAACTATCAGATACATAATAAGGGTAAAATGTTAATTCCCCCGAATCAGCCACCTGGTGGCGAAACTTGTAACTACCTACTCGCATCTAAGTAATTACAATGTGCAATGTACATATGCTAACAAGGCAGCTGAAAAGCTATGCATTTAAAAGCACAGTCGTCTAGACGACTGGACGTGTACATATATATTCTATGCAGTTTTATCATATAATATATATTTGCTTTTTAAATGTATGTACTTGAATAAACAATAACATTGCTCTAATATTAATAACTTTTGACTCTAAATATAAACTATGTCTGTATCAACTCACACACTTGCTTGAATACGGTACAACGTTTGATTTGCTTTAATATTAAACCAAGAAAAATAACTCGTATAGAAAAAGCATTTGAAGTTGGAGATCATTGGACAGGATTTAAAAGATGGAGATGCTTCTATAAAAATGAATGTATCATGTAATACAAACAATTTTGCCATATTTCAGTGACATTGATAAAAGCTTAAAATATAAAGCTTGACAGATCCAAAATATTTTTGATAATTTATTGTAAGCGTTGATGTGGTCCATTTGGTGTCAAATGAAAAATAAGGTTCTTATCAATACATTGGATATACACTCCATAAGTTTGGCAACCTTAGCTCCATCATTGAACTACGTGTTAAAGCCTCTTTACGTTTGAATTTTTATTTACTTAATCGGCGACAAAATAACGTTTAATATTGATGAAAAAGTAATCTGACTTTATTTCCAATACCTCCAAATATTTTTAGTTTTTTCCTTAATTACAATAGGTCGAAAATTGGTAATAAATTTGATGATTTTTTTAAAAATCGTCATTCCCATGTAATCCAATGGGAAATGGAGGGTTCAGGGCAAATCAGAATTCAGGAAATATTTTCAAAAAGGTTCAGCAAAAAATATTTCCATATAGAAACTTGAATTGTTTTTTATGAATATAAAAGTTATAGCGGTTCAAGGTCATTTTTGAATTATTTTCGCCTCCTGTGTTATTTGTTTTTTGAAAAACAATTTTGACTTTAAAGCCCTATAACTTTGTTGAACTTGAAGAAATATATCATTTTTTTTTGTTAAATAAAGTTAGCAAATTCAATTGCCTGTAGTGTCTACCTCGTATTTTTGCAAGGACTCGAATGGATGGAAATTCAGTCATATAACTTGCCGCAAACCTATAATTTCCCATTGGTTAACATTTTCATCGCAGGTTAAGTGAATAAGAATCCAAAGATAAAGAGGCTTTAACACGTAGTTCAATGGGGGAGGCAAGGTTGCCAAACTTATGGAGGGGAGTGTACTAAGAAATTTAAATGTTAAGTCTTAATTTTGCCCAAAAATGTTGAAAATTCAAAGTGGGCCTTTAAGAGGAATGCAACCCACCTGAAATTCTTTGTAAAGCTAGGAAATGGGCCAATAGTCAATTTCGCGAAACAAAAATGTCGATCATTTTGAAAATAGGCAATATTTTGAACTAGGAGTCAAAAGGGAGTTTATTGTATTGATGTTCATCAAAAATAACTTAAAACGGGAAACCTATCGACAGAGGTTTGAACGCAAATGGTCCAAAAGTGGATTTCACAAGACAGATGGACAAATCAATGTTAACTAAAATGGCTGAAAATAGTAAAAAGGATAATTTTTTGCTGATTCTTTGTAACAAAATTATTTCATACAACTACTCTTCACATTTAAATGGCTTTTTACAATGCAGGACACCTGGATTTATTTGTAAAGCTAGGAAATGGGTCAAAGGTGAATTTCGCGAGACAAAAATGGCGGCCATCTTGAAAATAGACGAGCTTTTGAACCTTGAGTCATAATAGCCGAGTTTTCTGTATTGATGTTGAACAAAGATTACTTAAAACGGGAATCCAGAGGTTTTAAAACGTGCCACTATTGTTGGTCCAGAAGTGGATTTCGCAAGACAGATGGACAAATCAATGTTAACTACAATGGCTGAAAACAGAAAAAAACGTAAATAAGTATTGCTGATTTTTTGTAATAAAATTATTTCATACAAAACTATTCTTTACATTGACATGGATTTCAACAATGCAGGACACCTGAAATTATTTGCAAAGCTAGGAAATGGGTCAGAAATGAATTTCACGAGACAAAAATAGCGGCAATCTTGAAAATAAGAGAGTTTTTGAACCAGGAGTCATAGGAGAGTTTTCTGTATTGATGTTGAACAAAAATAACTGAAAACGAGAATCCTATCGACAGAGGTTTTAAACGTGCCACTATTGTTGACGGACGGATGCACGCACGCACGCACACACGCACGCACTGACAGACGGACAGACGGACAAGTGAGTGATTGCAAGAGCTCACTATGTGAGCTAAAAACCTGAACAGATGATTAATTAAAAGATAGAAGGCAATGATCTGAACTAGCAACTAAAATGAAGTATACAATGTCATGTGTTAATACTTGTGCTATAGGTAAAGATTGGGAAGGATTAACTAGAAATCGGCAACTCCACGGAGTAGCAAATCCCAACGAACACTATGTAAATCGCAAATCTGCACAGTCACAATGTTATATTTACCATCTACTCTTCCCTTCACTTAGCAATATAGATCATTGTATTATCTTGTTGCCATACTCAACAATATCTCAAGTAATGGTCAATTCCTGCTCCAGGCAGCCATATTGAATTTGAATTGAGGCATAAAACGATACCATATTTGTGATCTACTCTAAAATTCCTTCAAATTGAGTATAATATAGCCATACTTCTAAGAGATCAGTAAATCATTGCGAAATCCCACAAAGCTATACTTCAAAATCATCTCAAAATTAGCGCAAATTTATGTTTTCCCAAATTTCCGTTTTCATGGCCCCTGGAGGCCAAGGTGAAAAAATGGAATATATGTGAATTATTTATATTTTGAGAATATAGCACAAAAATTTCAAATAATAATAAAATCACTTTGGTTTAAAATGAAAAACATGAGATTTTTGCAAAATGTCCGCCAATTCTATAGCGATGGGCATCTTAAAAAATGGTTGCGTAAAACTATTCACCAATATACAAATTTCAACCAAATATTGTGCAAATATGTTGACTAGTATTCGAGTTATCTTCCGGACGGACGGACGGATGAACGGACTGACTGAGTGTCGAACTGACGGACAGAGGGCTTCACTATATCCCTACCGAACTTCGTTCGTTGGGATAATTACGAATACATAGAAGATCTTTACAGAATGCTGGGTTGCAATTGTTTTCACTTCGTCAATCGGCAGATACATTATTTTGTAATTCCTTCAAATTGTATTTTTTGTAATTTAGACGCCGTTTAAGTACGATTTTTTGATAACACATTCAATTTAGATTGTAATATTGGTTATGCAATAACAATGTCAAATGTGGACAATGGACATAACCTCTTAATGTATCTCTCTATTTCTCTTAGACTATTAATACTTCTTAAATCACAACGTTTACATCGATTCTTTAACTGTCTCACTGGTGATCCACTCGATTACGCTGGACCCAGGTACCGAAACGGCTCGTTTTGGTAACAAAATGTCGGAACGTCGAAGGTACGATTTTTCTTTTTTCCTTATTTTACACGTTGTTGGCAGAATTCCCACGACATTTTTATCACAAACGTGTATCAGTATCATATGTTTAAGAAAATGTACATATTTGCGAACAAATTGTTCATAATTCCTCACTTAAGTTACATAAACGGTATTTCGAAAAACAGTTAAGATCTGCACTTTTTTCCCAAACCGTTTATGTAACTAAAGTGAGGAATTAAATCGACGATTCTGTTGTCTCCTGAGCTATTTTTTCGCAAACATATACATTTTGTAAAACATATGATACTGATATACATTTGTGGGAAAAAACGTCATGGGAATTCTGCCTACAACGCGTGAAATAAGGAAAAAAGAAAAATCGTACCTTCGACGTTCCGACATTTTGTTACCAAAACGAACCGTCAGCGTAATCGAGCGGATCACCTGTGTGTCTGCTGTCGATTCGTCTATTAGTTTTGCTTCTCAGTACACATTCGTATGAAGATATCTCCGGGGGAGTTCACATCATCAGACATATTCATCTGTATGACCCATAAATACCAAAAATCCCGATCAACAGTAATCCGTCCATCCTTAAAATATATTTTATGATATCGTAGTAAGATTGTTAATTGTTTGCCTTTGGGTCGGCTACTTTTTACCCACTCTTTACTATTTAAAAACATGGCTGAAATACTCACTCATCGAGTACATATTTGATAACCAGACGAGTACAGTTCTACTTTAATACTTTATCGTACAGCTATATAATGGCATGTAATACAATACTTGAAATTGAAATTACGACTGACTTAATGAATGAACTTTTATGTTATGAACGTACGTATGTCATCTTCTTGAAATATTTCTCAGATCTTTCTTGTGGCAATTCTAAATATTTTCCAAAATATGTTACCCATTCCTCTTTCTCCACCCATCCATCAGCTGTAATAAAGGAAATACGTACAAATAACAATATAACAACAAGTAAAATGATACACAGACTATCATCGAAACCGAATATTTATGTGATAGTAAAAGCACATTATCAAAGCAGTGAACGCAAAATTCCGTTGCTGGAGAACTTACAATTTCCAAGTCTATCAAATACATCAAAGTAAACGTCCATTAAACGTAAGTACCATCGTGGGATTTGAAGGGGTTTAGTTTGAATCTGCCGGCACATTTTTTCTAAGGCATTTAGCCATTCGTCGATGGTAACCTTTTAAAGGAATGCAGACTAACAAAACCATGTTTAACTACATCTAGCAATTTATGTATCTTACGCCTATATCACAACAAACTGGTTCTCAACCGTTCTTACAGTCCTGCAAAAAGTCGTAATACGCGCTAAATCTGGCTGTGGTCGGGAAATATGTCAAAAATAATTAGCTACTTCGTTCATAAACAGTCTCCAATAATTGAATCATTTCAAAATTCTAAAATCACCTTCCTTCCCGTCTGAGAACGTTCTTGAAGTTCGTAAATAGACCTTAGAAAGTTGCAGCTACGTTCATTCCGTTCGCACACAATTTAAAACAAATTTTGAAGAACGCAGTGGCAACTTGTTTGGTGCGAAAGCTATATTTTTGCTAACTCGTACATACGCAGTCTTTAATCATACGCTCTTAATCAGTTTAAACCCGTTTACAATTAGTTATACCTCGTTCTCAATACGTCCTCAGACAGTTCAACTCGTTGTAAAAACGTCCCTATTAGGATTAAAGTACGACGGTTCCGTTCGCAGTACGTCCAGCTCGTCGTTAGTGCGTTGTCAATTGTTCTAATTGTAGAACGTGGCGACCGCGAGAACATTTTGAGCATGTTTTAAGTTCTAGAGGACCTACCCGTTCGAGTGCGTTCGATGGAGTTTGCAATCGAGACCCCAAACGGGTCTAAGTACGAATCCGTTCGTACACAGTTGAAGCGTTTTCGAAAACGTAGTGAGAACTATAGTTTGGTGTGATAGTAGGGTAACAAGTTCATAAGCAATCTTCGATACATTGTCCTGAATCAATTTAAACCCTATTTGCCAGACAGTTCAACTCATTCTAAAAACGTTCCTAGAAACCCTACTATCACCCCAAACTAGTTCTCACTACGTTCTCGAAAACGGGTTTCAACTGTGTACGAACGGACTGGACGTACTTAGAACCGCTTGGGGTCTATTTACAAACTTCATCGAACGTACTCGAACGAGTAGGTCCTCTAGAACTTAGAACATGCTCAAAATGTTCTCGTGGTCGTCACGTTCTACAATTATAACGAGTGACAACGTACTAACGACGAGCTGCACCACTGTGCAAAATGTGCGGTATCTCTCGTTTTATTTCAAGAGATTTGGACAAATAGTTTGTATATATCTCTAGAATCCCCCAAAATATAGTTAGATATCATGTATCTGATACGGACAAATTTGCGTATCGAACCAGTTCTACTTAACTATTTGATGGTATGCCACAGAATAGGTCCCACATTATACCCGTGGTAATCAGGAGATTTGCTAACTATATTATACATCTTCTATCTATACTCTTAAAACACTGACTATACTTTACTATTCATACAACTATCGGACATGAAGAACAAGAGATACGCTGCCTATTCTGTGCTAAAAACAGCAGATATCAGCTTATATCAGGAGATACTCTCATATCAGACTTCCCAAAACAGGAGATACGGTAACTATACGAAATGACGTCATCAAGTCTCATTATTTGCAACGCTAATTAGGTAACATCACTTATCTGGCTTATTAACAATTACTCCGGTAGTTAAGTCATTAAATAAACAAATAGGGAGAATCTGAATCATATTCTTTATCTCTTGTTTATCAATAAAGTTTAATGTTAATAAAATAAACAACTGTAATGTTAGCACCTAGGTTTTAAGTAACGTACAGCATTCTTCGGTACATACTGTGCTGTTAATAATAATTTATTATTCAATAATTAATCCGTATGTTAGGGTTAATAGATAATCTCTACAGCTGATGACTCTTAGTTCCACAAAAATAATTTGCAAAATAAGTTTTTTCATATATATTTGATTGTATGATGTCCCTCATGTTATGTTTAACATTGTGTTAAATTTTTGATTCAATCAATTAAATAATTGTAAAGTTAATTTTGAATTTTTAATCAATTGGTTTTCCTCACATTTTTATTCCATTGTTTCTCTGTCACATTAAGTTTATAACAAACATCATTTAAATCCCCCTCTAACACAGGTACAAACAACCATTCATTTTGCCAACCAAAACATCAGTCATGACACAGAACTGCTAAATATTCAATAAACACATTGTGCATTTTATACAGACCCGTTCCTAAGGACCCCCCTCCCCGTGGCCAACAATTCTTTCAAAATCATGTAGTTTTCACCATTCACATACATGTATTGACATTCCAGAGCAATACAATAAGTCAAACTTTAATCCCTAATTATTCAATTTCTATGATTTGAGTTTTGTTCACACTGATAGATAATCTGTTTGTTAGAGTTAATGGATTAATTTCTACAGCCGATGGTTCTAATTTCAACCGAAAAATAATTTGCAAATTAAGTTTTTTATAATTTTTTGATTGTATAATGTCCCTTATGTTATGATTAACATTGTGTTAAAATTTGGATTTAATTGATTGACTCAACAGAAAGTTAATTTTTAATGTCAATGGGTTTCGTCACATTTTACTCCATTGGGTTTCCTGATTTCCTCACAATTTAACTCAATTGTTTCTCTGTCAAAATCCTACATAGTTTTACCAATCTGGGCACAGTGATTTTGGGCCAAAATTATCGATTGTGAGCCATTGGTATGTTTTGAAAATTGCTCCTCTGGGCTAAAACTTATTATGAGCCTGTAATATATTGGATGTATTGCTCCGATTTCTTCTGACAAATCTCTGATAATAAATGAGAAACATGCATTAAGTTTGCATGATACAAGTGGTGTTAAGCCATGCTTAAACAAAATTAAAACTTGAATTCTCTCACATTTTACAATTTATTCTTTCTGTTATCAATGTAATATCTGAGATATAAACCAGGGATATAAACAACAGATTAGTCCATGATATAATACATTTGTTTCTACTACAATTGGACCATTTCTTTTTATTACAGCTAGTTTTATTAACCTTTCTTTGTTTTCCATTTCCAAATATAGTATATATTCAAAAGGTGCGAGATTCGGTATGTTAAGATGTTTGATAATGAAAATAAAGAAGCGGGTACATTTTACATTAATTCCTAATGTTTCATCTGACAAAGCGATGATTACACTTTGAGCAAATTGGAGCATGGTAGAACAAACTGATTTAAATAACATATTAACATACAGTACATGTATGTCAGAGCAATATGATAAGTAAAACTTTAATCCCCAATTATTCAATTTCTTTAATATGAGTTTCGTTAACACTGATCACTAATCCATTTGTTAGTGGTAATGGATTAATTTCCTACAGCCAACAGTTCTAAGTTCCACAAAAATAATTTGAAAACTAAGTTTTTCATAATTATTTGATTGCATAATGTCCCTAATGTTATGATTAAAATTGTGTTAAAATTTGGATTTAATTGATTGACTCAACGGAAAGCTAATTTTTAGACATTTTTACTCCATTGTTTCTCTGCCACATTAAGTTTACAACAAACAACATTTAAGGCCCCCCTCTTACACAGGCACAAACAACCACCTGTATTCACTTTGCAAACCACAAAAATAGTCTTGACACAGAACTGCTCAAATTTTAGCTATATACATTACGCATTTTAAACAGGCCCGTACCTAACAAGTAACGATTCCCTCCCCTTGGCAAACAATTCTTTCAAAATCATGCAGACTTTCACCATTCACATACATGTATTGATGTCAGAGCAATAGAAGTAATACTTTAATCCCTAAGTTATTTTCAATTTCTATGAAATGAGTTTTGTTCACTGATAACTAATCCGTTTGTTAGAGTTAATGGATTAATATCTAGAGCCGTTTGTTCTAATTTCAACAAAAAGTAATAATTTGCAAATTAAGTTTTTCATATTTATTTGCTTGTATATTGTTCCTCATTCTATGATTAACAATGTGTTAACATTTGGATTGAATCGATTAACTCATTGGAAAGTTAATTTTTTGATTTTTAATTGATGACTTTTCTTAACTTTCTTTAACTTTAACTTTAAATATAACTAAATAATGTATATAAAGTGAATCTATCAGTTTTATTTTATTTGTTTAATTACTTAACGCTGACAGTGCATTGCCAATCATTAATAAGCCAGATAAGTTAAAGAAATAAGAAACGATGACGTCATTTCGTATAGTTAGCGTATCTCCTGTTTTTAGAGCTCTGATTTAATAGTATATCCTGAAATAGGCCAGAAGAAGCTGTTTTCCATAGAATCGGCGGGTATGTCTGGTTCTATTGGTCCAATAGAGTGGTAGGCAAACTACATGTATTTGTTAGCCTAGATATATAACACAGCCTATATTAGCTCATATTTCGTAGAGTTGAAAATAGTACTAACTATAGTAGTTGTCCGCCAAATCTCTTGGTATAGGTTGTGTCTCTACAACACGGGAGATACGGGAGATATTTCACACTATGACAGTTGATATTAGAGCATAGTTAACAGGAGATGCTATTACTATATAGCCTTTTTGGCACAGTGCACGTACCAACGACGAGCTGCACGTACTACGAACGGAACCGTCGTACTTAAATCCTACTAGGGACGTTTTTACAGCGAGTTGAATTGTCTGAGGACGTGTTGAGAACGCGGTAGAGCTAATTGCAAACGGGTTTAAACTGACCAAGAACGTATTTAAGACTGCTCATGAAAAAATATGCAAAAATATAGCTATTACACCAAACAAGTTGCCACTGCGTTCTTCAAAACTGGTGTTAAACTGTGTGCGAGCGGAATGAAGGTAGCTGCAACTTTCTAAGGTCTATTTACGAACTTCATGAACTTTCTCAGACGGGAAAGTGATTTCAGAATTTTGAAATGATTCAAAATTCGATGGTGACCATACCGTTCTGTAATCAGGTTATAGTGACCTTCTAGACTAAGAGACGCGTTATACGACGTTGCACACCGACGTGGTGCGACCTGAACGAACTGCGAATGAGATGGACGTATTGAAGACTGTTTATGAACGAAGTAGCTAATTATTTTAGACATATTTCCCGACCACAGCCAGATTGAGCCCGTTTTACAACGTTTTTGTAGGACTGGGAAGAACGGGTAAGAACTAGTTTGGTGTGATAAGGGGGTAAGATTAGATTAATGTACGAATTAAATTTCGAAGATATTCATCACGCAGTTTTGAAAAAACGTTAAGAGAACGCGATTCGCAAATACTTGGCAATTCATTGTGTACCTTTATAAATTCTTAACATAGTCAACAGTGGCTCGATTTTCATGAAATAAAGCATATTGGAAAGATAAATCAATATGATAAATTTGTATCTATCAAACAGATAAACAATTACCTTTTCGTATTTTCTAGAGATTTAGAAACAAGGTAACAATCATTATTTTATGAATTTCAATTTTATTGGAATCAAGTTCCAACTATCATAACTTTGCCTCTCTTCCCCAATCAATCTAATTTTGTTTACGCCAAATAGTGACCCCCACCATCCCTGAAGAAATTATGGTTCAAAATATTTTCCCCATTCCTTTATTTCAATTAACAATGATTTTCCAATGAGTCAAAAATCAAACTTATTGTTGTTTTACCAGCTTTAACCATTGGCTTTTGCCACAACTCTTCTAGTTTTTGTCATATGATGATTACAAATAAAACCAAACTAAAGCTAACCGTGTCGTCCAGGTTAGTGTCTGCAATATCTTTCATTGCCTTCCACATGTTGCTAAAAACGTCATTTAATCTCACCCACATTGGACTGCCCTCTGTCCACTTGGTCATGGTGAGAATATTCTGCAGAAATGAAATCTTACATCATTTATTTTGACTCATTGATAGTCACGTAATTAACCGCGTATGTCTCTTGTATTAGGGATCTTGAAGCTTTTCGGATTCTGAAAGTGAGCTTTACCGGGAAAGTGAGAGTCAAATTGCAGGGGTCATATCAATAGTTCAGTAGGTGTAATTGATAAATCAATAGTGTCAAATCTAAAACACAAATCGTCCCATTATTTCCACATTGTTATAACTCACTTTTTAAGGTTTTGAGTTAAGTATACTATCTTTCTCAATTTTTCGCGAGGAATTCATTTCTGAGGTCCATTTCAATGGATCTTATCTCCTTTTGGAGATAACCAGTGCCACATTGTTATAAGTGCAAAATGAGGACAACGAAATTAGGCCCAACTTGTCATATCCGTTTGGGTAGGCATCAGAGCCAATCAGATACATAATTTTGATCATGCGACTAATAATAATGTGGACGAAATGTGGACGATCTGTTATGCCTGGGTCACATAGCCGCCGGGCGCCGGCCGATGAGTAGTCATCGGCCGATTTCTAAATCGACCGGGCGCCGGTGACTTTTCACCGATGTCTTGATCTAATCGTGAGTATGGTCACATTAGTACAGGCATCGTACGGCGCCCGCAATCAATTGAATCTGAAAGACATCGCACGGGTATCGCAAGGCTATCGGCCGATGACCGTACGGGACCCGCTAGGACATCGGTCGATTTACAGGCCTCTAGATTTATACTTAATCCCTGTATGACCCAGTATGACTGTTCCACATGGCGTGAATGCAACATTTGAAAACGAAATACTTTGATAAACAGGACTTCCAGGATAATAATGTTTTCATGCAATAAAAATCAGAAAAAGAAGATCCTCTTTTGAGTAAATAGGTTCAATATTTAGAAAAAATGTTGACATGGGGTCCCTATTCATCATTTTTCGAATTGTTCGATTGATATTTTTATCATCATGGGTACTTCAATTGAAAGAAAACATATTGTTTTAATAAAAACACTCTATTTGTGCCCAGAAGGTACTCATGGTGAAAGATATGACCGTCTAAAATCACTTGCCATACTGGACGTGGTCTTTTCATCAAAGTGCACCCTGATCTTAATTCACTTTTAGATCTTTCATATAAAAAAATACTATGTCTACCTGTCCATCCGATGCTATTAGCAAAATTCCCTATTTCTCCATCTTTCTTTCGTCTGTCCTTGTAAAGAGAATTAGTTTGGTCATAAAAATATGGCTTCAAAGAAATTGGCATATTTCTTCTGTTTCAAGTGGAGTACCCGCTTCCCTATAGACACATCTAAATCTTCATTATCCACCAGCTCAGTAGCATTGTTATTGTCTTTTTGCACCTGTCTTCCCAAGGCCTTCCTCATATATGGCCCATTGGCCTTATCCCCTCTATCCTTAGCCTTTGACATATTACGTTGTAATTGAGACGTAATTAATCGTAGTAAAATTGTGACCCTTGAAATTACTGTACTCACAAAAACATTCCGAAGGTTTTTAAAATAAATGATTTGTAATGGTATATGCATGAGTGAATATACGCATAAAAATGTAACACTCTATTCAATGTGTATGACAGACATACACGATTAATGTCAATATAAGAACGACTAGATCAACCCACCCACCCAGCCATTCAAATGTGTGCCATTGTTTTATATACAGTAAGCTTAATCGTTCCATTTATGTTTTATAAAAACCTCTGACAGTGTGTAGTAATTATAATTCCTTTCATTATTTTTAAAACCTTTATATCACTTTATAAGTAATCATTATTAAGATTTATCCAACATCAGCACGCAAAATCCAAAGATGACCGTGCGATGCCACCGGGCGCCGTAAGATAATCGTACGATGATCGGGCGGGACACGGCCGGGTAGGTACCGATGAGTTTGGTTGAGAAAAAATCGCCAAGACATCGGCAACTTTTATCTCCGCGATAAAACTCTGCCAGCGCCCGTACGATGTCTAAAAATCGGCCGATGAGTGGCGATCATCGCCCGGCGCCCGTACGATGCCCGGGCTCGCCGGCCGATTTTGAACAAAATACTCATCGGCCGGGCGCCGCAGTGAAAATCGGAGCCTATGTGACCAAGGCATTACTAGTATACTTTGCAGGTAATTAACAAAGGAGATCATAAATCATGACACCATACATGGAGTAGAAACAAAAGAAAGCAGATTTGACAATTATTTGTCACAAAAAATGTTCATTCAGTGAACATAGTCAATTACTGACCCTGTTATAGCCTTTTTACCTTTGTCATGTAAAGATCTGGTGGATTTATCCAAAATATTTACAATTTTCGCACCTAAGTTGTGTTGTTATGGCGACCACTTGACCAATCATGATCAAACTTGTCATAGCAACTAATCAAATATAGATACATAATCCCTAGAAATATAATGTGACTGAAGGTATATAACAGAAATTATTGATGATTATCATAGTACCGACACATAAAAGTAGCAAGGGAGGTATAAATGGCAACAATTCGCAGATGCTGAAAAACTAGACCCTATTATTTTCAAAATCAATGAGAAATGATATATTTCTCATTATCAACATAATTAGAAAGATGCAATCCTGTTAGCAAAAACATAGACCGAGCTCATCCAGTACCTGTCAGTCAAAATGGAACACAGGTCATATTCTTTATAATTAGATGGGTAGAATAATGGTACCATGACCAGAATATGAGACCATAACAAAATGGAAGTGAATAAAAATTCAGTTTTCAGGGTTATTTTGATATTTCAAAAACAAGAAACAATAAAAAATATGTGTTTTATTTAAGAAATATCGACCGAAGAGCAGGGCTACTAGTTTCGAATACACCCCGTAGGTCTCGGCACAAACGTTTTCTGTACCCCGAACGACCGAAAGGATGACCTACTCTGAGGTCTATAATACGATTCGAACATGAAAACTCACCAGAATATTGCAAAATCGTCAATTTCGATGTTCATTCCCACTTTTTCATTTCTACATCCGGTTGAGCGTTTGGCTGTTCCAATTTGTTTACTTACCTCCTGACCCCAACTTAAGTTTCTATTGACATTTCGGCCTATTTTATTGCTTTCACGCATCTCTACTACATTGATAATTATTGAAATTACTAAGATTACAGTTTACAAATGCTCCGACAGAAAATTTTGGCTCCGGACAATTCTCCTTGCCATTTTGAATTTTGCAGACGAGGGGGGATGCGAAAAGAACGGAATGGCCTAAACTGACCAATGAGTGCACTGAACGAAACACTTAGTACAGAGCCGGGATTTGATCTCGAATATAACCCAGCTGAAGCATTGACTTTGTTTACAGTTTATAGAAGCCGTAAATACAGTCATGTTCGAATTATTGTTAATCAGTGATTTTTGTTCTGCAAGGCCTACATATACACATGATTACCTATACTAAAAATTAAGTTTTTAAAAAGTACAACTCAAAAGTTATGAAGACCCAAACTTCAACCTCTGATTTCTCAATATCAGCAAAAATGCAATTGTAACAATGTGGATATAATGGGACGAAATGTAAAATCTTTAGAGAATAACAACATTCAAGCATAGCATATCAACACAACGGTACAGAATTCCGTGAACTTTGCCAGATGTTGTCTTGGGTTGCGATATTGTGTACCTAATCCTATAACCATTAAAACCTTGATGTGACCACGCTCTACATAACTCCGCCTTCTCCCAATTTTCTATTTACATTTTAACGTAAGTTTTGGGGTTTTCTCCGTATTTCAGAACTTTTATAGTACCCAAGGAGTGGTTATCGTCATGGATAATACTGTATCCGCTAAAAGTCGACAGTCTCCAGGGAATACTAAAGGTCCTATTACCACTATTACTTGGACACGCATACAATAGTTATTTATAGAGTAAAAAAGTGCTTGGGGTACATTTTCTGGCCTGTTAATTTCATGGGATGTTCCATATTTTTGAGCCGATGGGAAATGGGAGATCATTCCTCATATTTTTCCACTCTTCAAGAGATGGCCAGCGTACACTGGTTCCCATACTATCGGCCAAACATCATTTATGAAACAGTTGCAATGTCAACATCGAGCATCAAGTATAGAGGCTGACAAGGATAAGAACTCAGTCAGATGTGAGAAGTCCATTGTGAGGTGACAGCTAGGCTATAGGGAGATATGAAAACTTTATTGACAAAATAATGCCTGAATATTACAACAATTATGAACTGAATTATCTTCCTCTGAGAGTGACTAATATCCAGGACTGGAAGATAGTATGTGAAAATTCAGCAATGCATAGTTCTCAATATACCGTGCACGCAGATAAATTCTGAAAGAATATTGTGAAATAAATGGGTTTGTTTCTAAACCCTTATGACACGACCCCTGAAATGTAACTTACACGTTCCTAGTAAGTCTCACTTTCAGATTCCAAATAGCTTCAAGATCCTTACACTACATTGAAGGAAGTTGTGTTAGGACCATTTGAAGGGTACATATTGTATGGTATGATAATTCACATTGCACATCGCATCGTGTGCCTATCGTGTATATATGAATGCCGCGATTAGAAAAAATGGTGTCTGTAAATTACCAATATTTTCCTAACGTAATATTACATCGTGGCTAAATAGTGGCTTTACCCGCGCTTTGTGATTTGTTCATAACTTTGACATTGGCTATCGCGGCGTTGTTGAAATCACTGCAGTCTGCAAATTAACTCTGTATTTTTTGCAACTGCGCCATATTTCATACTCACTGATATCAAATAACTTCATTATCTATCTGTTCAACACCTGTTTACCATTTCTTCTGGGAGAATGAAAGTTACTATATGTATTCCAGGCCCGTAGCAAGGGGGATGCACCCTCTCCCCCGGCCAGACATTCGTTATTTATTAGCTTATTGAGCTTATTTTTATTTTTGCCGTATGGCCCATTCAGTTATATAGAAACTCCCTTATTGCTTTAAATATTAATCACTGTTCAGTTGGATGAGAATGTCACATGAACATTCAAGACATGTCATATATTCTTATTCAGATCATCAAAGGACTGAAGATTCAAGTGAAAAATCCAGTAATATCTGTCTAATCTTAACAATTCTGAGACCAGCATGAAGTGTTCTGATTTTTGCATTCATATTTTAAGGTTTTATGAACAATTTATAAGTCAATGGAAAATAACAAATTCGTGACAGAGAAAAATTGTTCACATTGAGCAGTGTTTGGAGTAGAGGTGTCCAGATATACAGGTTTCGCTGTATATTACAAATTGATTTTGATATTCAGTCAGCTGTGCGGTTCCAGTGGCATTCATATTGGACAGGTATTATAACTGTATCTTTTGTTCATTGCATATATTATTATACATTATTTTTGTTAATAAAGTTATTACATTTCATGTCATGTTGTTTTATTTAATATAAAAGTGTTTTTAGGTAGTTTTTGGCCATAACGAACAGACTTACTCATTTTGAATAGCTTATATATATAAACATGATAAAGGCAAAATAGTAGGAAATATTATGATCAAGCAAATAATCGTCTACTCCTTACAAACATATTCCAATAATAAACACAGATAAAATTAATTTTAAATTGTAATAGTATGTTAGTGTATGGAGTTTGAAGTGGGAGGGGGATACAATTACCAGTCTGCTGATTGATGACTTAATAACTTAATATAAAATATATCATAGCTTTTATCAGGTGGTACTTATGTCTGACTAACGTTCTTTAAATCATCTCGTCTCGCGGTTTTAAAAAGGGGGGGGGTTGCCAAGAAGGTGGGGGCTGTTTGACGGTTTTGGCAATAACATCATGCGAAAAGTGCTAAGAATGGTGAAAAATTGCATGATTTTAACGAATATTTGGCAAGGGGGAGGGGGGTGAGGCCCTCTGGCTACGGCCCTGGAATGCATTTAGGAATTTCCTTCTCCCAGAAGAAATGGTATACAGGTATTACATCAATCATTCTGGTATTTTGTAGACACGTTATTGAAAGATGACAGTGTACACCGTGTACTACCATTTTGAGGTCAGTTTGACTTTATAATTCCCAGCACTCAAAAATCTGTATTTCTCAAAGATATCCTCTCTAGAGGCATCACTGTAATCCAAAATTACAATTCCGCGGGTCAAGTCCGAAGTCTTTCGAAAAAAGTTGAATTTGTTGTGCCACGAATTTTCATTCGTTATTTATTCACAGTTAAATCCCACTTGGGTAGCAACACAATAGAATTTGCTGTGGGTTTTGTTTAAGAATGTATGGTTTTATCAAAAGGAAAATGCATTATTTTTCTATTGTTTTTAAAGAATGTACACTTGGCAAGCTATCAAAAACAAGTGAGACATAAATGACCATTGACAGTTTTTGATAGTTTTCATTCCCTAAAAAACAATATATATATGTAAAAATACATGTACCCTTCTCTTGTTACTGTGTATTCTTTAGAATAAAACAATTTATCAATTTTTGTTGCTATCTACATCATTGATCTTATCTTACTTACAAATATTCTGCTGTATTCAAATTCAATGTTCTGGACTGGACAGTCACCTGTAGTGCACTGAAGCTAGACTAATTATAGCCCACTCAGTCACTTACATCAACTCACACTCATGAGGTCAATGCAACCAACTCTTTTTGTTGTTACAATTAATTGGCTATATAACAACAAATTTTAACCAATAAGAGCCAGGGTCATTGTTAGCCTGGTTGAAGTTTGCAAAATTCACAGTTTGAATAGTCAATACAAAAGAAATCACATTTTCCCGGATTAAAGACCTTTTAACTGTAATATAATAGACCATTTACCTGTAATAAGAATGTGTGTGATTTAAGTAAGATAAAGCATTCGAATTCGATTTGATAAGAAATAATAACCTCAGGCCTTCGGCCTTCGGTGTATTATTTCTTATAAAATCTCATTCTTATGCTTTATCCAGTACATAATCATATTTTCATCCCGCACTGAATGAATAACAAGGGCCGCGTTGTGCAAAGTGAATTAAATAAATAAAGTGCGCAGAAATCGATCTGACTTGGCCGCAGTGTGCATCACGCAGTGTGCAACACTCCCATGTTAAAACTCCATTGAATTTTAAATTCTGCGGTACATCCCCTTTCGCTTTCCGTACATTTTCACAAATAATCATTTTACCATTATCTGAATTTTTGTGGATTGAACTGCAAAAATAGAGACAATTGAATAAATAGAAAAATGTTCCAATTTCTATTGGCCCATCCTGTACATTACTCGGAAACCGAACTGCAAAATAATACAGGGTGGTCAAAAAAGTGGGACAATTATTAAAATGTAAAACGTATGCAAATATATTACAAGAATATTTGTGAAATCTGTGGAACTAACCTTCACATGTATTTCGAAATCGTTCTTACTAACCACTCCATTTTTGTCTTGATCTGAAAATAACCTAAACTGAAATCAAAATTACACAAAAAAACATAAAACGTCCAATAATTGTATATCCATTTGACTTAAGATTTACAAGAATAAGAATAAAATTATCAATGGCTTACCAAACCAGGTATAAAACTGATACTTGTTTTTCTTCTCCCAGATATCGGTGCGTTTAAATTCGGCTCTGGAAACTAATTGTTTGACTATCATTTCTCCAAAAGTATTCCCAATAGTTTCCATATCCCTAGATACAGTGAATCCAAGTATCATCTCCCTGAAAAGAGCTATGTCCAAAACCCGCTGTCCATTCTAAAAAGACAAATCATGTCTGTATACGGTTGTCACATCTGGTAGCAATACATTGAAATTGTGAATGTTGAAATTGCAATATTAAGTGACAGGGTGGCACAAAAATGCAACGCGCATAATAACGTATTTGCCTGTATGATAACTGATTGTTCTTTAGCACAGTGGAACTGATAAATTTAGACTCCATTGACCAACTCCACAATACGTTTTAGATGACTTGCTCAACTAGATGCATTTCATTAGGGTTACAATATGTGCGCACACTCTTTTAAGTCAATGGTATGACTTCCGGATATGAAGGATCCGTAGCACACTATAGCGCAGCAACATTTAAATCAATATTTATGAAGGTGTATATGTCTTGATTCTTTCAAAATACAATTTGCTGAGAAAACGTCAGGCTTTCTGGTCGAAAACTGTCTTTCATCACAAGGGGCAAAACACGTAAATATTTTGATTCGAACCTTTATACATTTTATAATCACAGACCGTTATTCTAAGCATACGTACACAAATATATTATCATAATGTAAAAAATATACTATTTTTTTACTGTAGATTTCGGTGTTTAACTAGTGTAATTACACAAGTGTGTTTTGTAGATTTTGTTTGATTTTTTCAAATATGAGCCAAGCCTATTCAACATAATTGTGTGGAATATTCAGGTTATTTATGATTGGGAACATATTCGATTTATTACCATTTAAAAAATTTAAATACCAGAATTTTTCCATATAATCAAAATGAGGTCTAACAACAAATTATTGTTCATGTTTTATAAAACAAAATACAATAACAAATAGATAAGATCCATGTCTAATTAAATATTACAGAGGTATTGGAATGTTCATATATTCCAAGGCGCGTCTAATAATTAAATAGAATCATATGCAATCGAACGCCTTACAATGTTTCCTCGACATTACTTGCGGCTATCATCAAGTTTTCTGATTGTTGTATCTTCTTTGACGACCTTACCGCTGGATACAATCAAATTTAGGAAGATAATGATAACGATTTTTCTCAATTATTCATGAATTCGACCAAGTCTTGATGGTTGTTTTATAAGCAACTGAGCTATATCTAACTACGAGAAATAGAAATTTAACCGTAGTACCAATTAGTCAAGGAAGAGCAACATGCCCTCCTTTATTGATAATGTTTACCGCTGAATAAAAGTCCATACTTCAAAACGTATTGGGACCCATTTTATGAAAAACTAGCATAATTTAATCATTTGCCATTCTAATATAAATTAAAGTGATTCATTTGTAGCATTTATCTTATTAATACTTATTAATACGATTCGCGAATACTTGGCGATTATCTGTTTTCTACATTATTTTTGAGTTTTCTAGAGTAATAGTAACAAGGTAACGATCAATATTTTATGAAGTTCAATTTTATTGACATCAAGTTCCAATTATCATAACTTTGCCCCCCCCCCCCCCATACAATCAACTTGTTTTTACGCAAAAAGTGTTATATATGTGGCTGGAGCTAAAAATATAACGAGACGCGAAAAAAATTGCAAAAAGGACTCTTGAGAAAACCCAAGGGGGAGGCGGATTGACCACCCCCGCAGACATTAGGGTTCATTTTATGTGCAAAATAATTAGTCAAGGGTCAGAAGGACAAATGTTTTGTATAACATTATGTGAGTGGGTTGCTTATAAGTGTCACGCTATATTTCAAGAGTATACTTTAATCATGACATGATGTTACCATAATGATTTTCCTATATGCAGACTCTACGAAGCATAGAAAAGTGTTGGAGATGTGTCTTGATTCGTAGTAAAATCCAACAAATTCAACTTCGTCAATCAAACCATCTCCTAGAATATCAATTCATTAAACGTAATTTAATGTAATGCGAATCGATGCAATTAATGCTAGTTACTTTATGATAAAATATATTTTAATGTATGCGTAAATTATCATACCATTTTTGTCAATTATGTGAAAAGTTATGTCAATATACTCGCGGAACCACAACGGTATGTCATTTTTCTTCTCGTAATTTGCAGCAAAGTCCGCCCAGAAGTTGCACCATTCAACTAAGCTGATCTGTGAAGTAAAAGTTTAGTGTGACACGTTTCCCACGTCAACAGTGACTGACACATGTAACATAATATGGAGTGTCGAAAATATATATGGACCGTTATTACGTTGTCATTATTTGTTTATCTATTTCTACTTTCTTGCCAATGCAGGGAATCGATTGCATCGCTTTATCAACACAATCTATTATCCATGAGTACACTAATGCTTTTATTGATCTCTTAACTCTACATGATCATAGCATGCTTGAAATATTGACAATATTGTTGAGTTTGTGTTATGATTAGCGTGGATTTCAATTACTCGCCTGGTTGTTTTTATCCGCATCACTCGTTAGATTTTCCCATAAGTTACTTTTCATGACGTTGGCTCTCTTCCACATTGGGCTGCCATCTTTCCAGTCTCTTCTTAGTACCAGGTCCTAGGATGACTGATCGTGTCAATATCATGGCATGTCAATATCATGTCTTCTTATCTGACAAGCTGCCTTGTGTTCGGTTGGTTCTTTACTAGTAAAGTCTTTATTGAAACATTCACTCAATGGTTCAGAAGTTGAAAACAGTCTCATCTTATTTAACGGAAACAAAACATGTAATAATATAATGGTTTTGCAAAAGATTGTAAAAAGTAAGCAAGTATACCTGGAAAGCCAAATCAAAATCCTTTTTTCCAACGACTTCATTTAGATTCCTATCTAAAAATCAATAAAAATCATGTAAACGCATTAAAGGTTCCGGTTGATGATTTTGAAAAAGAATTTGGTCAAGTTGAAGCAAGTTGAAAAAATACCTTGTTGAGCTTTTTTACCTTGAGAAAGCCATTAAAGGTCAAATCTCAAATCTGAATTCAGATTTGAACTTCCGAGAACTTGCAGAACTTGTCAGTGAAAACAGTATTTGTTAATTTATTGGAGTTTTTTCGAATTTGGTACAGTAGTCGGACCCAAACGACCAACAACCACCCGCCGTCACAAAAAACGAGACCATAATATGTCACCACTTTTGGTCGTGAAATAATATACTCACCAAACAACATGTAAAATTGATTCTTTATTTTTGCCATCCAAAAGGAATCAAGTTTGAAGTTCTTCGCCATGTTGAAAAGTATGTGCAGCTAAGAGGAATATATGGGCGTAATGCTCTCATGATTATTTTGAATCGGTAATGATAATGTCTAGAGTAAAATTTGCGTTTAGTTTCATATATGCAGGAAGGTCAAAATAACATTCCTATATTCTATATTTCATTCACTATATTTTTAATGATTTAAAAATAGGTTAGTTTGGCATATTTCAATTAAAAGATGACGACATACAATAATTGTATAGGCCCCCTATCACACCAAACTAGTTCTTACCCGTTCTTTCCTACGAAAACGTCGTAAAACGGGCTCAATCTGGCTGTGGTCGGGAAATATGTCTAAAATAATTAGCTACTTCGTTCATAAACAGTCTTCAATACGTCAATCTCATTCGCAGTTCGTTCAGGTCGCACCACGTTGGTGTGCAACGTCGTATAACGCTTCCCTTAGTCTAGAAGGTCATCATGACCTGATTTTTTAAGGTTAGGTTTTATTTATTTGCAATGAGATTTACACTAGTTAAAATACTAGGAAGGCCTAGGTAAAACATTACATTATTGGCCTCCCTTATAAAAAATTGCAAATCAACATATATTTACATCGGTTCTCAAAGTTTTCTAGACATTTCACCCCCTGGACGTTTCACCCCTTAGACGTTTCACCCCCTGGACATTTCACCCCTTAGACATTTCACCCCCTGGGCATTTCTACCCCTGGACGTTTCATCAACACACACATCCCCCACAAATGGCTTAACAGTAAGAACAAGTTGCCTTGGGTCTCCGACAACATCAGAAGACTCATGAAGAGACGTGACAGATACTTTCACAAGCGGTTTAAGTCCACGTCAAACTTAAGTCACTATAAGTCCCTTAAAGCCGCTGTCCAGAAGCAAACAAGAGCAGCCTACTGAACCTACATCGAGAATGTCATCTCTGAGCCATCACCTGAATCAACATCTCCAGGTGCTCGAATGACTAAACCTAAAGCCCGGTATACACCAATGGGGCAAGTTGGGACCTCCATAGACTTAACATTGCGTGGGACCTCGTGGGACCTTTTGGGATTTTGCCCCATGAAGTCCGTGGAACTCCATGGGACTCCGTGGGATTTTGCCCCATCTTGCCCCATCGAGTCCCACGAGGTCCCATGAGGTCCCATGAAGTCCCACGTGGGACTCGGTGGGACTCGATGGGGCAAGATCGGGCAAAATCCCACGAAGTCCCATGGAGTCCCATCGAGAATGAACATGTTCATTCTTACCATGGGGCATCGTGGGATTTTCGATCATATGACGTGTTGTGTGAAGCCCGACATACACCAATGGGGCACGGTGGATTTGATGGGACTCCATGGGGCTTGATGGGACTCCATGGGGCACGATGGGGCAAAGTCATCATGGTCCCATGGGACTTCGTGGGATTCGATGGGGCAAATTGGGATTCGATGGGGCAAGATGGGACTCGATGGGGCAAGTCGGATTTTGCCCCATTGGTGTATACCGGGCTTAAGAGGCTATTCTCGTACATCAAAAGTCTGAGGAAAACAGCTGACTCTGTGGCTCCTTTAAAAAAGGATGGAGTATGACCTGCGATAACATCGGCAAGGCCAATATACTCAATGAGCAGTTTCAGTCTGTTTTCTCAAAGGACCCTAACACCCCCTTGCCAGACAAAGGACATAGCCCTCACCCAACCATGCCGGACATCAAAATATCCCAAGAAGGTGTCGGAGGATGCTTGAAGGCCTGAACCCCAACAAGGCTAGTGGCCCAGACTCAATACCATCTCGAGTCTTGAAGGAGCTGGCAACTGACATCGCCATGCCGCTTACACTAATCTTCCAGCGGTCTTTAGATCAAGGCAAAATACCAGCTGACTGGAAGAAAGCCACAATATGCCCCGTGTACAAGAAGGGTGAACGATACAAGGCCTCCAACTACAGACCAGTGTCCCTTACCTGCATATGTTGCAAGCTTGCTGAACATCTTCTAGTTAGCAACATGATGCAGTTTCTTGAGACCAATGGGATCCTGTATGACTTGCAACATGGTTTCAGGAGTATGAGGTCATGTGAAACACAACTTGTCATCTTTTTCCACGACCTTGTACTGGCGAATGACACAAATCACCAGATAGACGTCATAGTGATGGATTTTGCAAAGGCATTCGACAAGGTATCACATCGCCACCTGCTTTACAAACTCCAATACTACGGTATCAGAGGCAGTAGTAGCCTGGGAAAATCAATGGCTGATGCAATTCCACCCAGACAAGTGTACTGTGCTGTCGGCAACTGGAAGACGGACACCCGCTGTCTCCATCTACAATATGCAGGGACATGCCCTTAAACAGGTACCGTCGGCAGAATATCTAGGTGTTACAGTGCAGGCAGATCTCAAGTGGAACCAGCATATTGCTAAATCCATAACCAAGAGTAATCAGCTCCTTGGCATGCTGCGACGTCATCTATGGAAAGCTCCTCAACATACTAAAAGACTGCATATTTTACCCTGATTAGACCAAGGCTTGAGTATGCAGGCTGTGTTTGGGACCCTTACACATCAACCCAAAAACAAGCTCTTGAGATGACCCAGCGAAGAGCAGAACGGTATGTCATGAATGACTTCAACCGTGTAAGCTCTGTCGGTGCTATGCTGTCCAAGCTACAATGGGAGTCTCTGGAGCAGAGAAGACAACAACAACGGCTCACCATGCTCTTTAAAATCAACAATAGCCTAGTTGGAATTCCCAAGGACCAATATCTTGAACCCCCTCCCACAATAGACCCAGACGATTACAAGTAACTAACAGCCAGGCCTTTGTCCGCCGCAGATACAACAAAGATGTCACTTTGCAGTCTTTCTTCCCAAATACAATCAGGGAATGGAACTCACTTCCAGAATCAATAGTGACAGCGGGAACATTCGAAGGCTTTAAAACCACGCTTGGTTCTTACTACCAAAACCCCATTCCTTAACTCTTACTGTTGTGTAACTGTTTTTAAACCGTTTTTAACTTTACCTTTTACTCTAACACTGTTTTTATCTTTTACTATGCATACTTACCCGCGATGTAGTAATCAGTAAATGATTGAATCGTGTATTATTATGATGATGATGATGATGAAACGGTCCTCATAATGAAATAATAATTTGTTCCATGTTGAGATTTTCCTAATCTGTCAATCATCGCGCACTTTGATGCTCCATTTTATCGAGGGGTAGTGTTTCACATTTTCTGTGATTTTTCAGAGTGGTCAAAAATAATATTGAAAGTGGGGCAAAACGGCCCGTGTGTGATGCAAAACAGCCCACCATTAAAGCTTGGGTTTTAAAACAAAGTTTAATTAAATACATTTATCTTAAACGTTTAGAGATTAGACAGATAAATTATTCTTAGCCGTAACCATAATAGTCATATATGTCATAATTTGGGCCTGCTTTTGCATTATTTTGCAGTTTGTTCAGGTTATTTAAGAAACAATAATTGTCACTGCAATCGAACAGCTTGTGTTATTCATATTGTATTATTGTATTTTGGAGTGAATCCAACATGCTGGACAGCTCATGTTACAATTGTAATTTGTAATTTTGATTTCACTGTACATATTATCTGATTGGTCAAGTATTGAACGTAATGCTCAACTCAGGTATTTCCATTCAAGTATAAATGTTATTGAAAGCTCTTGTTCCACATCATTTCAACAACTGGTGATCGTAGTTTGAAAAGGGTCTAAACAAACCCGAACACAGCAGCCCTGTGGGGTACTTATGTGTTGAATACTAGATGCTAGTTCCTAGTTCCTAGTGTGCTTATACAGAGACTGAATGAGTGGCGTTCATGCTTTTGATATCTAGTGACGTTCTTAGTGTGACCTAGAAGATATTTATCTGAGACAATGCCGTTATTCAGCAATGTATATTATTCAGCAAAATGGGACAACGCCGTTATTCAGCAATGTGTATTATTCAGCGAAGTGGGACTCTCACAGTACATGCAGTGACAACATGCCATCAACATAGAGTGGTGATGTTATAGTGGCACTCAGTATTCTATATGACACTGGTATTTCGATAGAGTAAAATATGTACAATTAAGGTTTTAAACCTAAAATAGAGACTCTTATCCATGAGTGGATTAAACTCATATCACGAGTAAATCATAGGATGTTCTTTTTATTCCATAGTTAAAGTCATCATCAGAATCATCGGAAATTAAGTGATTTAATTGGAATTTTCTAAACGATCCGGCGATGTTGAAGCCTCGTTTTGAGTCTGAAGTAGCAAAAATCCATAAACCATCGCATACGGAGCCGTATGTCATGGCTAAAAAACCGTATGCTATGGTTAAATGAAAATTTGTCAAAAATATCATATTTTACCACTGATTGCAAAAATACCGTTTTTATTTTCACATGTTATCCTATGAATATCATGCTTACTATGGAATAAATAGTGGTATTCACTGAAAATGACATCACATCACTTAATTCCCGGGAATTTATGAAAGACGGTGAAGTTGTATCACAAAGTCCCCCAAGAAAAGGTTCAATATTGTATAACAAACGCGGGATAAAGATTTTACAAAGGTATTCAAAATGTCAACTAGTGAAAGCACGACGAGTTTGACTTTAACATTGAAGATCCGAATCTAATTTTTATATATTATGGTGTGACAAAGATCGTGATTTATAATACAATATTGGCAAACGTTTGGAAATACGTTGAAACTAAACGTCATATCATAACAATATTGTGTGCTTCTAAGTTTAATATTTTTTGCTACTTTAATGAGGAAATAAAGCCCTTCGTGCTGCGATGAATACACCTTCTGAAATATATACAGATATTCAACTCCACAGAATTCAATATTTGTATAGTATTATTTGAATTAGGTTATTGTACGGTAGAGAAATGAAAATGTTGGTGATCAAACCTAGGCTGAAAACAATCGATGTTATATTTTATTGTATTATATGAATTCTTGTACGGTAGAGAAATGAAAATGTTGGTG